GGGTGGACCAATGGTACAGAAGAGAGGACACAGAAACCAATCCACAAAACTACAACTATCTTATATTTGATAAAGGGGCTAAAAGCATGCAATGGAGGAAGGATAGCATCTTCAACAAATGGTGCTGGGAAAACTGGAAATCCATATGCAACAAAATGAAACTGAATCCCTTTCTCTCGCCATGCACAAAAGTTAATTCAAAATGGATCAAGGAGCTTGATATCAAATCAGAGACGCGCCGTCTGATAGAAGAAAAAGTTGGCTACGATCTACAGTCGGTGGGGTCGGGCTCCAAATTCCTCAATAGGACACCCATAGCACAAAAGTTAATAACTAGAATCAACAAATGGGACTTACTCAAACTAAAAAGTTTTTTCTCAGCAAAAGAAACAATAAGAGAGGTAAATAGGGAGCCTACACCCTGGGAACAAATCTTTACTCCTCACACTTCAGATAGAGCCCTAATATCCAGAGTATACAAAGAACTCAAAAAATTAGACAATAAGAGAACAAACAACCCAATCAACAAATGGGCCAAGGACCTGAACAGACACTTCTCAGAGGAGGACATACAGTCAATCAACAAGTACATGAAAAAATGCTCACCATCTCTAGCTGTCAGAGAAATGCAAATCAAAACCACCCTATGATACCATCTCACTCCAGTAAGATTGGCAGCCATTATGAAGTCAAACAACAACAAGTGCTGGCGAGGATGTGGGGAAAAGGGTACACTTGTACATTGTTGGTGGGACTGCAAATTGGTGCAGCCAATTTGGAAAGCAGTATGGAGATTTCTTGGAAAGCTGGGAATGGAGCCACCATTTGACCCAGCTATTTCCCTTCTCGGTCTATTCCCTAAAGACCTAAAAAGAGCATGCTACAGGGACACTGCTACATCGATGTTCATAGCAGCACAATTCACAATAGCAAGACTGTGGAACCAACCTAGATGCCCTTCAATAGACGAATGGATAAAAAAAATGTGGCATTTATACACAATGGAGTATTACTCTGCATTAAAAAATGACAAAATCATAGAATTTGCAGGGAAATGGATGGCATTAGAGCAGATTATGCTAAGTGAAGCTAGCCAATCCCTAAAAAACAAATGCCAAATGTCTTCTTTGATATAAGGAGAGTAACTAAGAACAGAGTAGGGACGAAGAGCAGGAGAAGAAGATTAACATTAAACAGGGATGAGAGGTGGGAGGGAAAGGGAGAGAGAAGGGAAATTGCATGGAAATGGAAGGAGACCCTCAGAGTTATACAAAAGTACGTACAAGAGGAAGTGAGGGGAAAGGGAAAAATAATACAAGGGGGAGAAATGAATGACAGTAGAGGGGGTAGAGAGAGAAGAGGGGAGGGGAGGGGAGGGGAGGGGGGATAGTAGAAGATAGGAAAGGCAGCAGAACACAACAGACACTAGTATGGCAATATGTAAATCAATGGATGTGTAACTGATGTAATTCTGCAATCTGTATAGGGGGTAAAAATGGGAGTTCATAACCCACTTGAATCAAAGTGTGAAATATGATATATCAAGTAATTTGTAAGGTTTTGAACAACCAACAATAAAAAATTAAAAAAAAAAATATTTAACATAAAGGTTACTATTAAAACTAAGGCACAGTATATCATGTTATGTTTGCAATGCATAAATGTCTTTTGTCTTTCTATTGAATGAATTAGGTGCATTATTGGTAACCCATAATAACAAATGAAAGACATCTTTGCAAGATAGAAAAGTTCCTGAAAGAAAGAAAAACAAAGTGGAAAAAGTGGTCATTTCAATTTCTGACAAAAAATATATTCTCTTGGTTCTGCTGACTTCGGAAGTTTACATTGCCAAGATAGAAGTCTTTACTTTTGATGCATTCGAGCTAGCTTAATTTATCTCTATACTTCAATGTTTCTTTAAATTTTGAAGTTTCTCTTTTTTCTTTAAATGACAGAACTATTTTTAAAAAATCCTTTAAAAAACAATGTTATAAATCAGGTAGTTCTTATAACACTTGAATTAAGTGTAAAATGTTCCATTTTCTATCAGGAAAATGTTAGGTAGGGTCAATGGTAAGAATGAATAAGAAAAAAATGACTTAAAATAGCTATGAAGATTTTCAATAAGTCAAATATTAAACAACTGTATTCTGTAACTGAATAAACTGAGAGATAGAAAACAGTAAAAAGCTGAATCAGCTCATTTTTACAAAAATTTACTAATATAACACTATAATAATCTACAACATATAACAATATAATCTACAACTCTAATTCTCAAATAAAAATCAAGGAATTGCTTGCTAATAATATTATATATTATTGAAAGTTTCAGAAATTAAATAGAATGGGATTAGGATTAGAACCTGGAATAAAAAGAGTAGTTAAAAAAAAAAAAAAAAAAACTAGGGAAAAAAAAAATAAAAATCTATAGTTAGAATTATGCCTGCCGCAGTCTGGCTGGGCACAATCAGAAGCCACTTGTCAAAAGAAACTAACTTTATTTTTAGAACAAAACACGCCAAACAAACAGCCTCTCAGGAAAAACCCCTCAGAGCCCAACTGCCACCATCGGCTTTCCACAAGCCTCTCTCTCCCCCCACAAGCTTCTCTCCACCTCCCACAATCCTCCTGCTCTTGAGGCCGATTGGCTGGGTCACGTGGGCGGAGCCAAAAAAGTCCCCCAATGAGCAGCTCCGTGGTCTGAAAGGGCAGGGAAACAGTCCAATGAGCATCACCGCAGAGGAGCCAATCAGCTAGATGTTGCTGGGGCCGAGGAGCCAATCAGCTAGATGTTGCTGGGGCCGCTGTGAGTGCTGGGGCCCCTTCGGCTGTGGCTCTCAACATATGCCAATATGAATTTCTGAGTTTTTACAAATGTTTCATAACTATACAAATGTTAACATTAGGACAAGCTGGTTAAAGGGCATATATTTACAACTATAATAAATCTAACAGTTTTCTAAAATGAAAAACTTAAAAAATAATTGCTGACAAATTAATTCAGAAATTCTCAAAACATTTTTGGGGGGGAGTACCAGGGATTGAAATCAGGGGCACTTGACCACTGAGCCACATCCCCAGCCCTATTTTGTATTTTATTTAGAGACAAGGTCTCAGGAGTTGCTTAGCACCTCGATACTGCTGATGCTGGCTTTGAACTCGCAATCCTCCTGCCTCAGCCTCCCTAGCCAATGGGATTATAGGTGTGTGTCACCAAGCCCAGCGATTCTGAAAGCATTTTAAAAAACCCCAATCATTCTAATAAAAATCCCTTCTAAATTCTAAATGGAATTACTAATAAAATTAAGTATTTAATTACTGTAGCAAGATATAAAACATAAGTATGGCCATATATAAACTAATCCATATTTATGCCAAGTTATTCCGTTCCTTCTAAATTCTACAACGTATTACTGATAAAATAAAACATTAAATTATTGTAGTTGGTAAAGGCATAAAACATAAGTATACTATTTATACACTAATCCATATTTATGCCAGTATTACTTCAACAAATATTTATTTAGTGCCATTGGGCTAAGCAGTTTTTATAATGTTAATATTAGTAATTTAAATGGTCACAGGTATTTCTCATTTTAATCTGTTGTTTTCCATATTCATGATTTATTTGACACTAAATCCTTAAGAACACAATTATCAAAGGAAAATTTTATTATGCAAATGACTGAGAACCCATAAAGCAGAACTAGGAAACTTCATTTATTATAAAGTTTCTTGCCAGCTTTTAACTCTAATGTATGCTTTTTAAATATCAACTACTTTTAATATTTATAAAATTTTAAAAAATTTATAAGAAAATCTGATAGTCCCCTTCTCTCATTCATTTTATCTACATATGCCTTTTTATTCTGTAATCTAATTTCCAATCTGACCAGACTGAACAACAACAAAATGTTGAAAGAATAGCTTGGACATGTATATTTTTTTTTTCAAACACTAGAGCAATTGAGGAGAGTATCAAGGAGGTTGTACTTACAGAATAAATAGAAGTAAAAGGATTAATTTTTACTTTAGTGAGAAAGTTTAAGGTTAACATGACACAAATGAACTGTTGAAAACATGTAAAAGGGAAAAGAACCAAAATGCAATAGGAAATAACTATTTAGAATACATAACATATATGAGAACCTCTCATTTGATGTGACTAAATTCTTTAAGATGGAATACTTTACAGTAGAGTCTTATTCCTTTGGTGGTAAACTGCAGAAAAAGGGATGCACTTTCTCAGTTTCTTAATATATTAAGGGAGAGAACTATTTAGCTTGCCATATGTAAAACACGAAGCAAAGTTCTTATTGTTTTTATTATTAATAATATGATTAAAATACTATTTCTTTTGCTTTATCATTATCTCTATTAAGGATAAGTAAAACGTAAAATAAAAGTTTTAGTAGGAAATATGGCCATTTTGGAAAATAGAGAAGAAAAGGCATGTTTTGAAGGGATTATCTAGATACTCACAGGGCTGGGCCATAGGTAACATAAAGAACAAAAATAGTATTGGGGGCGGTTTGAGGTGGTGGCTTAGTGGAATAGCACTAGCCTAATACGTGTGAGGCACTGGTTTCGATCCTCAGCACCACATAAAAGTAAATAAATAAAGGTATTGTGTCCATCTACAATAAAAAATACATTAAAGCAACAACAACAACAACAAAAAAAGCAGTATAGGGATAGAAGAAAATTGATATATGCTAAAGACAACTTCCTTCTAAGATATAAGTCTCTGAATAGTCACCTTCTTTGCTTTTTTCCAAACTCTAGTCCTGAGTTATAACTTGAAGTTGATTTAATAACATAGGAAAAACAAGTTTACAATTATTGATTTAGCAATTTAATTGAAATACACAATTTCTGATAACCTAATCATAAAATCAGCCATCCAGGTCCCACAATTTCAATCATATCACATTTCTCAGTCTGATGAAAAAATCCCACCAGCCACAATAGTACAAAATCAGAAAATCACAACTTACTAAATCTTCTAAATTGGAAAGTTGTTCAAATCCCTCTGGTATGTAAGTTAGTTCATTATGCTGGAGGTACAGGCCTTTCAGGTTTTTCAGATTTGTAATTTCTTCAGGGAGCATTTTCAGTTTGTTATGGCTATTGATTGATAAAATAAATGTTGAATAATTTAGTAAACAACGCAATAGATATTTATCAAAGACATTCTTGCTAATCAACTATGTGAACCTGTTAGAAAAATAAGACATGGTTATTAATTTTAAGTACTTATCAAAATTCACTTTCCAAAAATATATACTCATTAAAATAACAGTAATCTAAAGTAACCAAATTAGAATCTTAAAGAAATAAAGTTTCTAAATAAACATATAATCAGTGAATTTCTAATTTCTTGCTTATAGTCAACTTAATTTTACATGTATCATGAAAGGACTTATTGTACTCTTAATTGCCTAGCATGTGTGAGGCACTGGGTTATTGTACTCTTACTTTTTGTACTTATTGTAACTTTTTATACTGTATCTGACTTGTGTACATTTACCCACACCCTACAGAAGAGTTATATTTTATATGGAGGTAAGGTTGTAAACATAGCATTCAAGACAAAAATATCTAGTTCTGTTTGAGGGCCTGACATATCAATTCCACTCTGAACTTTTCAGTTGTACCCTTCTCTAGAGATACTCAGTTTACTGATTTAGAAGAAGTCCCACATCACTGAGGATGATATGTTCCCTGGTTATTAAGAGAGAAATGAAGAGATTCCCAAATTTATCACAACTTCATTATTCACTTATGAATTCTACTCTACTATCATGACACAGTTACTTCATGCACTAACAGGGGGAAATAGAAATATGAGGGGCTGTATAATAACCTTAAATTACATTAAAAAAAAAAAAACTAGCTACAACAAAAAAGCCAAAACAAGCCATTCGTTCTTGTTTTCTAAAATAAGAACGAGTAAGACTATTAAAAGTTGGTTATTATTCTAGGTTATGTAGCTGAAGTCTGGGTATATTTGATAAAGATTGAGATGGGAAAAGATGTAATTCTAGCTATATATTTCCTCCATCTTGAAATTCATATACTTAACATTTTCGAATCTAAAGCTGACCGCCCCCAAGCTTAATACTCCTCACTCTTGTCCTTGCAAGCTCTGTCTATATTTTTGACTTATAAGAGGAAGATCCTCTGATGCATATCTAAACAATTAGCACCTTTTCAAGTGTAGATAGTTGTTTTTTTATTTTTTAGTTGCTGATAGACCTTTATTTGTTTATATATGGTGCTGAGAATCGAACCCAGTGTCTCACACATGCCAGGCAAGTGCGTTACCACTGATCCACAGCCCATCAGGTGTAGATAGTTTTTCTGATTTATGGTAATTTCAAGTTTTTCACCAAATGAGGACTGTTATTTTAGGGACTGTTTCCCTCAAACCAGTTAACTTACCACTAGAAAACAGAACTGACTACACTGTGTTAAATAGATCTATAACCATATCTGTTTTATAACCAGTTTTTCAAACTGCATTTTAAAGAACCTTTTGTTTCTTTTCCTAAATGAAATCTCCCCTAACTTCTTTCTCTTAATCTATGTCTATATAACAGACAGGGCAAAGATATTCTTTCTTATAAATCTGGGTGTTAATTGGGAGGAAGCATTTAGAGCCTCAGCCACCTAGCATCCTATCTGCCAATGACAGTACCAGAAACATGCATGGAACACAAGGGGTACTTGGAAAAGTTTAAAAACTGCTAATATTAAAAACCCTGAGGGCTGGAGATTTAGCTTAGTGGTAGAGAACTTGCCTAGCATGTGTGAGGCATGTGTGAGTTTGATCTCAGGCACCACACACACACACACAAAACAACCAGAAAATTCTTCAGCATTAATAAAGGAATTGATTAATAAATAACTCTTCTTTATTGTCTAGATACTTTCTAGAATATAGAGGTAATTTGTTGGAGCCCGTGTATGAATTATGGGCTTGTTTGAGCCATAACAAGGCAGGGAGGTTGCTTTCCTTGGAGCTCCTAAGTGAAATTCCCTGTTAGATAATGCCAGATTATGCTGATGCCCTGCCTTAGCTAACAGCCCTAGGTTCAAAAGCAGCTGCCCCTGAGGTACAGGAGGTGGGCCTAACCTGCTAACATCCAGAGGAATTGTTTCTACTATCTTCTTCCTGTTTCTTCAGGAAGTTCTTTACTCGGAATCCCAGTGGTGTTCCCATTCATTTAAATGACTTCATTTTGGGGAGTTAGACCCAGTCTCCATCAAAGTTGGTCCTAATTGAATTCTGCTCTTTTACTTATTTTCATGTTTGGTCTTATTTCTTAAATTTCTCATACTTTTAATATTTCTAATTTGACTCACTGCCCTAACTTGGGGAAACTGAGTAAACTTCATATGGGTCGTGATAGTAATTTAAAACTTGATATGACCTGAATCTTTTTATATTATCTCATAAACATAAAACACTTTCTTTTTTTGGTAATGGGGACTGAATCCAGGGCTTTGCACATGCTAGGTAAGAAGTCAAAAACATTTATTTTAAATCAACTGGCCTTAAATTCATAAAACCAGAAAACATGTAGGGAATTCTAAAACCAAACACAAAGACAAATGCTCTGCTGAGAGCAGAGGGGCCAGTCTATAGTCCTAGCTACATGGGGCTAAGTCAGGAGAATTGCTTGAGCACAGCTGTTCTGGGACCACCTGGAGAATATAGCAAAACCCATCTTTTTAAAAAGGACAACTAATTAAGAATTAAAAGTTAAGGGCTGGGTCTGTGGCTCAGAGGCAGAGCGCTTGACTAGCATGCGTGAGGCACTTGGTTCGATCCTCAGCACCACAAAATAAAATAAAGGCATTGTGTCCACCTATAACTAAAAAATAAATATTAAAAAAAGAAATTAAAATTCTTATTCAACTACTTTCTAAGATAACACAAAGGTTTTTTTGTTTGTTTGTTTGTTTTGGTGCTGGGTACTGAACCCAGGGCCTCATGGATGTTACGCACAGGTTCTACCTCAGAGCTATGCCCCACCCTCATGATATTTTCTAATGTTAGAAAATAATTTTAAAGAATACTAAATCTATACCATTATAATTGCAACATTAGAAATAAATAAGCTTAAATTTTACCTGACATTAAGCTTCTGAAGATTTTCAAGTTCTCTTAGAGCAGAAGGAAGTGATGTTAGCTGATTATCATGTATCTAAAATCATTAAAAGGAAGTCAGTATTCTTATTCTTATAATTAACAACACATGAGCTTGGTATTATACAAAATTATTCACTAATAATCCCTGTTCTTCTAATTCAATGACATGACACCTATTTGTAATTTGTTCTGAGTGTAGAAGAGGAAAAGGGGTTTAAAACTGACCCAACTACTGCTCAGAAATCATGAAGTAATAAGTTATTGATTTTAAATATTACCAAAATAAAACAAAAAAGCTTCACCTCATGGATTGGAGTTTTAATGTCATGTACAGGTGAAGAAATTATTTACGTCAACATATACAAAAATTACATAAGGGAGAGAAGAACTTCTCTCATGTTCTCACAGAAACATACTGTTTTTAAGGGAGAAAGTATCTTGGAGTAGGCCAATTCAATCATTTCACAAATAAACACACACACAAAAAAAAAAACTTCTCTAGAAATTTCACTATTTACATTCAATCTTTTTCACACATGAATTACAGGACTTTTGATGTTGCTATGTAAACCAGAAGTTTATATACTTTAAAGTAACTATTAATGCTCCAATTTACCAAGACATAGTGACTAGAGACTAAAAACTAAATACCTTAATAAAAATCATAAAAATTTGAGTTTAATAGTTTAAGTCAGTGAGATTGAAAGTGAATTACAAAAAAAAAAAACCCTTAAGTACTACACTTGTTTTAATGTCTAGAGTCATAGTGATGATAAAATATAACAATAAGAAAAAAAGATGAGTAGAAGCAACAATACTGATTGTACGTGTTAACACAGAGAATTCTAATAATTAAAAACAGTAGTATCTTTCCTCATTGATAGATATGGAAACTAAAGCACAAATAGGCAACTTTCCCAAAGTCACTGGCTGTTAAGTGGGAAAATCAGAATTAAAACCTTATGTTTTATACCCTTAACCATTGTGCAATGCATGACATAATAATGTTATTTTTCCTTTGACTGTATCAACTTAACATGAAGAGTTTTCTGCTTATCAAAGCCTAAATTTAGCTTTGGAGTTTCTTCAACCAACAACACATAATTATATTCAACTTACATCAAGAACAGTCAGTGCAGGTAAGAGTCTAAGGTCATCTGTCAGTGACTGAAGTTTATTGTTTGATATGATTAGTTTGGTCAAATCTGTCTGTTCCCACCATCGTTCAGCAGAACTGAAGGAAAGATTCTGATTAGCTTCTTCAGGGATATCCACATTTATTCTCCAAACACACTGAGGCACTATTTCCACCACCACCATAAAGAAAAAAAAAAAGATATTAGATATTAAATGATATACTTTGGTAATAACCACTCAATTTATCTACTAAGAAACAATTTCAGAAACAAAAATTTTCCAATAAGTCAAATAGCAATAAATTACAGCTACAGCAAAAGCTGATTTCATTCAAAAACAGACTAGATACATTAGATCTCACTTTTAATTTTATTCACTTACACACTAGGTATACTCTGTATAACACTTTTTGATAAATATATAAAATATAGTCTACTATCATGCTAACAAAGTTACAGAAAAGGCTTGGAAATCAGCATTTGTATTTACAAATTATTAATTATATTTATAATATCAAAACTTTTGTAATAGAAGTGTATACCGAGTCTCAGAAAGGTCTAATAGTACTTGTAGTGATAATAATAGCTAACGAAAATATCAGGCAATCTTCTAACAAACCAATGCATTTAAACCTTGTAACACGTTTGGGGGTGTAGCTTACTGGTAAGGCATTACCTGTCATCACATGAGGCCCTGGGTTTGACCCCAGCACCACAAAACAACCAAAATACCCAGTCACAACTCTGTGAGATAGGTGCTATTACCATTCCTATTTTATAGATGAGAAAAATGGGGCAAAGAGGAAAATGTACAATTCACTCAGGGTTCCACAGCTAGTATTAGATGTGATTTTAACCTTGGTAGGACTGTTGTATCTTTTCTAATCGTACTTAGGAGAAATACTGGACTCTGCTAGCAACTCTGTTTTGCTAGATATAAAATTATGTTTCTTTTTCCAGCATATAAAACTTGTGTCATTCTACAGCAACAAGTGATAATTCCTATAACACAGCAAATGAGACTATATAAGTTAAACAGGGCCATACTATCACTTGAAGTTCCAGATAGTAGCTTATGGTAATGAAGTAGCAAAACTAATGTTATAATAATATAGCCAAATTACTTTAAAGAGAGTTCTTCATTCCTTAACAAAAGTAGGACTACATACATGTTGATGTAGATCTTTGAACTAATATTAATCAAGGCATTCACTGGTTATGCCCTGATTTAACTGATGATCAAAATCATTAGAGATTTAAAAGAAAGGTGCAATCACAGTTTCAAGTTTAAAACCATGAAGTATAATTCAGAGGGTTAATCTGATACAATGGTGTTATGAGGCATCTACATGTACACTAGAATAAATAACAACATCCCTCTCTTACTCCTTCTCTTGGATTAGGTACTCTCTGCTTCTATATTCTTCTTAAGCAAATGTGAGTGATGTAGAATATAAATCCACTTCTGTTTCTGTTTTGTGGGTGGATGATTATTTTAAAAGCAAAGTAAAATAAAAAAACCTTTACTATTCCCAATAGCATTGAGAACAAAAGCGTCATAAAATTTGTGAAAACTATTATTTTGATACATAAATTTAGATGATTCTATGGGAATGAGAAACAGATCAACCAGCAAAAAGCACATGGACTAATAGACATTATCCTATTGCCCATTAGTGTGTACAATTTCTTTCTCTGGTGCTGTCTTTTTTTTTTTTTTTTGGTACCAGAGATTGAACCCAGGGTTCAACCACTGAGCAATATCCAGAGCCCTTTTTATTTCTTATTTTGAGACAATCTCACTAAGTTGCAGAGGACCTCGCTAAACTGCTGAGGCTGGCTCTGAACTTGTGATCCTCCTGCCTAAGCCTCCCAAGTATCAGGGATTATGGGTGTGCACCACCACATCTGGCTAGTATGTACTGTTTCTAATTTTTTGTGTAATAATTAAAAATAAATTCAATTTAAAAAAGAAAAAATGGAGACAACAAATTAGACTTTATCAAAATTAAAAGCTTATTTTTCTAAAGATACTATTAAGAAAATTAGGCTAGCCATAAACAGAAAATATTACATAGATATTGGTATAGATAGATATCTATGGACTTGGACTTGTATTCCAAATATATAGTCTTGTAAGTCAAAAAAAAAAGAAAATTTGAACAAACTTAACCAAAGATACACAAATGACTATGAAGCAGTAGAAATGATGATCATCATTACTTAAGAAAATACAAATTAAAATTGCAAGAAGATACTCTAACATAGACAAAAGAATGCATAATATTAACAAGACTGACAATACAAATTACTAGTAATGATGTGGAGCAACTGGATCTCTCATATGTCTAGTACAAAACTGTTTGGTGAGCTTTTATAAGGTTAAATGTTTACTTGTTATTATTGTCCAGCAATTCCATTCTCAGGCATACAGTCCACAGAAATAATATAGTTCTACTGAAAGACTTATAAATGAAAGCTTATGGAAGTATTATTAATAGCCCAAACCAGAAAAAAATGCAATGTCTATAAACAGGTAAATAAACAAATTGAATTATATGCACACAATGGACTCTTATTCAACAATAAAAAGAAACTACTGATATAAACAACATTGAAGAAGCTTAGAAACAATTATCCTAAGTAAAAGAAGCCTTAAACAAAAAAATTTGCAATTTTATGATTCCATTTACAAGAAATTTGAAGAGGCAAAATTAATTTACATTGACAAAAAGCACATCAACATTTTTATGGAGCAAACAATGGGGATGGACTGACAAAGGGACATAGGAAACTTTTCAAGAAGTGAGAAATGCTCATATCTTTATAAAAATTTATTAGTGCATTATAGTAATACATAATTGGAATTTATTTTGATATAACTGTACAAGTATAGAATATAATTTACTCCAACTCAGTCCCTAGTACTTTCCCTTTAGCCCCCTCACTCCCACTGTTCTTTCCTCTACTCTACCTGTCTTTCTTCTACTTCAGTTTGTTTTTGAAAGGGCATTATACACATACATAAAGGTTCAACTCACTGTGGTCTACTCATATATGTACAAAGGATAGTTCAGTCAGTTTCATTCCACTATTCCTCCCCTTTTCTGTCCCTCCTCCTGACCAAACAATCTCCTTCCTCTACTTCACTGATCCTTCTTTTATTCTCATGAGAGCCCTCCTTTTATTCTTTATTTTTGTCTAGCTTCCACGTGTGAGAAAAAACATTTGACCCTGACTTCGTCATATGCGTTATTTCACTTAGCATGTTGTTGTCCATTTCCATCCACTTATCAGCAAATGCCATTATTTCATTCCTCTTTATGGCTCTTCTATCCTTCACTGTGCAGAAGTTTTTTAATTTTATGCCATCCAAATTATTGATTCTTGATTATATTTCTGGTGCTTTAGAAGTCTTGTTAAAAAAAGTCGGTGCCTGTGCCTATATGTTGGAATGTCAGGCCTATGTTTTCTTCTAGCAATCGCAGATTTTCTGGTCTAATTCATATCTACTTTGAGTTGATGATTGTGCAGGGTGAAAGACATATGTAGACAAATGGCTATCCAGTTTTCCCAGGACCATTTGAGGTCTGGTATTGCTCTTCTTTCTCAGGATTGCTTTGGCTATTCTGGGTCTCTTATTCTTCTAAAGGAATTTTAGAATGCAATTTTAAAACTAAAATTTTCTAGTTCTGTGAAGAATGCCATTGCTATTTTAATGGGGATTGCACTGAATCTGTAAAATGCTTTTATACAGTCATTTTGATATTTAATCTACCTAACCAAGAACATGGTAGATCTTCCCATCTTCTAAAGTTTTCTTCAACTTCTTTCTTCAGTGTTCTACAGTTTTAATTGTAGAGACTTTTCACATCCTTGGTTAGATTTATTTTCAATTATTCTCTTTTATTTGTATTTCTTTTTGAGAGTATTATCAATGGTATAGTTTCCTTAGGTTCCTTCTCAGCAGTGATTATTTATATATACTGATCTTGTATCATTCTACTTTGTTGAAATTTTTAACAACTCTAAAGTCTTCTGGTGGAATTTTTTTGAGTCTTTTAGATATAGGATCATATCAACTAACAGATAATTTGACTTCCTTTCCTATGTTTCCCTTTAATTTCATTCTCTTGCCTGGTTGCTCTGGCTAGATTTTAAAGGACTGTGTGAAATAGCAGTGGTAGGAACGGACATTCCTGTCTTGTTCCTGTTTTTAGAGGAAAAACTTTCAGTTTTTCTCCATTCAGTATGATGGCAGCTTTGGGTTTGTTGTACAGAGAGAGAGCCTTTACAACACTGAGGTAAATTCCTTCTATCCCTAGTTTCTTTAGCATTTTAAACATGAATGAGTGCTGAGGTTTGTTTTTTCTGCACCTAATGAGATAATCATGTGATTCTTGTCCTTAACTCTACGTATATGGTGAGTTACATTTATTGATTTGTGTATGCTAAATCAACCCTACATTGATATCTATTTTTTGAATGTAGTAAGTCAATGCTATAAATGTTCCTCCTAGAACTGCCTCTATTTGATTTTGTTATGTTGTACCTCTATTCTCATTTGTTTCTAAGGATTTTTTATTTCTCCCTGATTTTGCTGTGATCCATTCCTCTTTCAAAAGTGTATTACTAACCAGTTGCTGTTGTGCATGCCTGTAATCCCAGTGGCTTGGGAAGCTGAGGCAAAAGGATAGCAAGTTTAAAGCCAGCCTCAGCAATTCATTTGTTATCTAACTCCATGTGTTTCCCATCTACTCAAAATAACATTAAAATGCAAGTGAGTAAGTCTAACAAAAGAAAGATACGTTTAAGTTTGGACTAATTTATTACACAGTGTTTGGCACTGAAAACTGGAGATAAACGACTTAAGAGGTGAGTCAATCAAGTTTAGAACAACTGTGTTAAGGAATCAAGAAACAGAAATGGGACCTTTTAAATTAACTATCTAGTTCCTTGTCTCATAATCCAAACTCCCTTGGATTTCAGTAAAAAAATTAAATGTTCTCTTTCAACTTCTGAACATATAGGCATTTTTTCTTGTTTTCATTAAGAAATGTATAGGATTTGCTTTTTTTTTGACAACATACTCACCTGGAAGTAGTTTTTTTTTTTCCTGAAATGAAAATGATCAGTTTTTATTAGTTATTTAGAATATCACAATGGGTTCCATTAAGCAAGCAATAGCTAAAACTCAGATTCAGTCTAAATAGTAATGCAGAGCATGGTTTATAAAAATTTAAGATGGTTAGTGAAAGCCTAAAGAAATGGTTTATTTTATACTTTTTATCTGTTCTAACTGTATACTGAATAAAATAAATCATTATTACCCTAAAACAGTATGTTTTTTGAAGCTTAGGATCACTAGACCTAGTTACTTAATTGTACAAGTGAAAACTAATCCTCTGTTCTCTTCAAGGTAAGGAAGAAAAGCCTTACAACAATATTTCCCTTTCAAATAATATGGTTTCCAAAGTAAATTACTTTGTTTAATAAATTATCTGCCTACCAATTTTCCTTTCAGTTCAAGTAGTTTCCATTAGAATTTGCACATTCTTTTTTCTCAAACTGTGGCACATTTTCATTTTCCTTAGTGTTAGATGAAACACTTAAAAACATTTCTACACTATTGTTCTGCCATGATTATGCAACCAGAAAGCAACAATCCATATTTTCTTTATCACTTGGTCCTCATTTTATCTAGCTCAGTGAAAAAAAGAGCTGCACTATTTACATTGAAACAAAGAGACGATATATTCTGCTGCTGTTCATAAAAACAGCTGTCACCACGGATATTTTTACTGTTTCTGTAGTTCACCCTTTGTAGAATGTCTCATAATTTAAGTCATATCTGTATCTAGCCTTTTTAGATTGCCTTTTCTCCTCTTATATTTCCCCCTAAGAAGTATGCTTCTCCAGATCCTCTGATAACTTGATAGCTCATTTCTTTTTATTGCCAAATAATATTCCATCATATGGATGCACCATTTTGTTTATACACTCACCTTCTGAAAGATATTTCAGTTGCTTCAATTTGGAGCAATTAAGAATAAATCAGCTATAAGTATTCATGTTCAGATTTTTGTGAGGATGTAAGTGTTCAACTCAATTTACATAAAAACTTAGAAGCATGATCACTGGATCATATAAGACTATGTTTAGCCTTATAAGAAATTGTCGAACTGTCTTCCAAAGTGACACTACCATTTATCTTTCCACAAGCAAATGAATGAAAGCTCCTTTTGCTCCATACCAGCATTTGGTATTATCAGGTTTTTGGATTTTAGTCATGTTACTAGATTCATTATGTTATATGCTGTTTCCCAGTGATGAATAAAGTTGAATATAGATGTGCTATTTATAAGCACATCTGCCATATATATCTTCTTTGGTTAGGGGTCTTTTCAGAACTTTGGCCCATTTTTAAATTGGGTTGTTACTTTTCTTCATGTGGAGCATATTTGTCTTTTTACGTCACTTGTTTCTGCTACCTAATTGATGGTTCCATGAGTAAGTAATATAGAAGTAGCCAGTAGCCTGTTGGTTATGGTTCTTAAAAGTGTTCTGGAAAGAAGTTTCGGTAATGTTTTTTGATATAACTAAAACAATTGTAGATGGTGATTTTTTTCCAATAAACTTTTCCCTTGAACCAGTCTGCACACTGCTATACTTTTAATAAATATTTTTAAAAGTCTTCTCATGCTGGACCTGGTGGCACACACCTGTAATCTCAGCAGCTGCAGAGGCTGAGGCAGGAGGATTGCAAGTTTGAAGCCAGCCTCAGCAATTTATCTAGTGTCTCAAAATAAAAAATACAGAGGCTGCGGCTCACCGGTAGCATACTTGCCTGGTATGTGTGAAGTATTGGGTTCAATTCTCAGCACCACATAAATAAAATAAAGGTCTATCAACAACTTAAAAAAAAAAAGGAGGAGGGGCTGATGATATGGCTTAGCGGTTAAGCACCCCTAAATTCTCGCTGGCAGTACAAAAAAAAGTCTTCTTATTATCTTTATTTGTGCCTCCAAATATTATTACTTTGAATTATGAATTATATTCAAAAGATATTTTGAAACATGTCTTCTTTCAGATTGCTTTCCACAAATATACAAGATATTTCATGTGAAATATAACATGTGAAAATGTTATGTATGATATGTGAAGGGATACAATTATGCATTTAAATAGTATGTTATTTATCAACTATTTATGTTTCTTCCAGATATTGTGCTAGGTACTAAATAAATAAAATAAAAATTAATGATACCTTCACATAATTCCTTTTCTCATAAGCCTTTTAACATAAGCTTCATTATTATTTATTGGGGGAAGGTAGGTAAGGAAGAAATGTGTACAGCACAAGGGATTTTTGTGGCAGTGAAACTATTCTGCATGACAGTATAATGGTAAATACATGATATGAACTTGTCAAAACCCATAAAATGATACAACACTAACAGTGAATCCTAATGTAAATTATAAACTTCAGTTAATAATAGTGTTGTCATTATTGGCTCATTAATTATTAAAAATGTACCTGATGTAATGCAAGATGTTATTAAAAGAAAAAATGTAAGCGGTGAGGGGGAGGAGGTAAAAGAGAACACAATGTACAACATGCTCAATTTTCTATAAACCTAAAATAGTTATCAAAGAATGTACAAGTATAACTGGGGAAAAGGCAACACTTTGTTATTATTGTTGTTAAAGAATAAGATGCTGAAAAGAGATGGGAACCACAAAGTAGACTGTTGGGGGCAAGATTCTGAAAATCTTTTGAATGTTATGCTGAGAATATTATATTGCACCTTGTGAGCTATGAAATGTTATTAAAATGTTTTGTGAGATATGGTAAAATCTGTGTTGGGAAGGTAACTCTTGTAATGACATTAAGAGAGTGAGGTTTAAAGTGAGAAACCCAGGATATCAGGCCATACCATAACAGAAATGCTCAATTTTATTTTATGTAGCAGGCATTTTACCTATGTTACTTATATAAACCTTAGTTAAGTCTTATTATTTCATTATAAGTGAAAAACTAAGGAACATCTCCAAGTTATATGAGCTAAGAAATGGAGATAACGAGGGTTATCCCCAAAAGGAATACAAATAGTACAGAATTATAGTGATTTGAATATCAAAGTTTAGAGTGATAAGACATGAAACTGAAGTCTAAAACCAGTTAGGGAAAGATCTTCCTTATTATGGTAACAGGAAACCCTTTTTCATATATAAGCTACAAATACCACAAGCCTTTCCTATGAAATATTATATATTCACTCACTGAACACAACAGTTACTGTGTCAAGTTCAGTTTATACAACAGTCCTGATCCATATCAGCATGAACCTAAGAGTCAAAATTTTCTACCTAAAAGTTCAACACACTAAATCACATGGATCTAGTCAATAAACACATTCCAAAACATCACTTAGTTCTGGAGAATATTCACTCATTTACTTATAGTGGCCACAAATAGATCCTACAATACAGCAAACACTATTTTGGGAGCTAGGGACACAACAATGAACAAAAGGAAGGTACCTGACCGTGTGGAATTAGCAGTCTAACTAATGGGCAAGGTAGGCAATAATTAAATGATATAAGTCCTTATAGTGATTCTATTTAAAAAATTAAACAGGGGAGACAACAGTGTGTTACCAGTGGTAATTATGGTGGTTTGGAAGGGCCTCTTGGAAGTGAGCTCTGAGCAAAAATCCTAAAGGAAGCAAGAGAGTCAAAAAAGAAAATGTTCGACTTTGGAAAAAGCAAATATATATGGGAAAAGGAGGCAAGGGAGGCAGAGGGAGAGTGACTGGGTTGGGTGGGGAGAAAAAAGCTTATCTGTGGTTTCAAAGTGTTTATGCCCCATCTATAAAAATTCTTGTAAATAAAGCAGGGATTTTATGCCATATACCCTTTCACTTATTCATCAAAGTATCTGTTTGCCTGGTTTACATTATTCACGGCACAATAAGTTAATATTCATTAGAAGGAAAATGGAAGGTTTTAATTGCAGTGTAAAAAGCTGAATGTAAGTAGAGGAAAATATTACAGGAAGAATGCTTTATTTCTCCACTTCTCCCTCATTGCTCCCTTACCCCCACGCACAGGCCACTCCAAGAGCATCTGGCCTTTCATTGTTATACCCAGGTTACTGTTTCTTTGTCTTTATCAGGTTTTTCAGAGTGGCCTCAAATTCATGGACTTTGTGTGGCGTTTATTCCAATCCTCAATTTAGAAAACCTGCTCATCATTCCTGGTCATTAGGACTCTACCCAAGTTCATAAAGAAGAGGTATCGCATTCACTCAAGGCTCACAAAGGAGTAGATAAAATACAGAATTTTAGCGTCGGTAATTTTCCTTAGAGAACAAATTGAGAAAAAGAAAGTAAGAATCAAAGAAAATATTTTCCCAATATCTGATAGGTAGTTTACTCTACCATTACGTTGCCTATTCCTTCTTAAGCGGGAGTCCCTGAAAGCGTCCGGTTTAAATTTTGTCCATAGTCCCAGAAGGGTGCCTGCAGCGGAGATGCTGGAGCCAGAGAAGTAAGGAAACTGGGAGGCCATGTCAGTCGAAATGTAAGAGTGCCTGGATTACCGCACAGGGATCCTGGCTAAAAGGCAAAGCCAAGCTCGAGGAAAGGAGGCTGCCTTGAGCTAGGGCTTTCTGCCCGCACGGCACAAACTGGTAGCACCTTTGAGTCTTACCTTCACTGAGGTTCCTACCCGACAAGTTTAACTGTCCGCTCCTCCTCGCCGCCTTTAACAGCCCCTGGGGCACAGCAGTAGTGCAGTCTCTCCTCTCAGCTCTGAAACCCGCTCGCGGATCCCGCCCGGCTACCCGTTGCAGGCGCGACATGTTCAAATCCTGGGTCTGCAAGCGGCAGCCCCACCCATGACGCTTAAATGTGGCGCCGCCAGACTACCCCGCCCCTTCCGCAAACGCGTGCTCTGTGCGCGTAGTTCGTGGCTTCGCGCTGGGCCTTTCGCTCCGTGTGGCGCGGCGCAGATGTCGTCACCGCCAGCTCCCGGGGCTGGAGGACAGAGCAGCCCCTTCAGTTGCCGGTGCCGGCCTAGCGTCCTGGAATTACTTCGCTCTAGTAAGTGCGTTCAACGGGCTTAAGAGGGGCTTTCGGGTTTATTGTTTGCTCCAGTTACTGCGACTCCAGCCTTCTGTATGCTTCCACCGTGGCGAGGGGGTTGGGAAAGGATAACCCTCTCTTCTCCCCTCTTCTAGTCTGAACGTGGGCCTTAACTAAAACTTGAGACCTGGGCGCCGTCTGCAGCCTCTCTGGACCCCAGCCTGTCTGTCGCTGGGGGTAGTGGCACCAGACCTCCGTCGTAAGGAGTAAAAGAGATTTCCTGGTCTTGGAGCCTGTACTCTTGACTCCTAACGTGCATCACTCCCGTTGTTGTGTTGAAACAGCCCAACGTTGGAGGGAATGTGAAATCAAAGGATTGGCAACCTAGAAAAAGAGAGGAAAAAAAGTTTAAAATGTAAAAAATGTCCTGCCTACCGGACAATTGTAGGAGACAAGTGGACGGTAAAGGAGACAAGTGTGGTACAAGCTTTAGTGAATCACAGACAGCCCGGACTTTGAAGCCCCGGAAGTGCAAGTTCAAATCCCACCTGCTTACTGTTGCTGGCCAGCGAGCCTAGGATCCCTCTGGCTGGCCAGATGTGTCCCCCACATAAGAAATAGACAAAAGATGGAAAAGGGAAGAATGAACGTCAGGCAGTTTTATCAAACCTGGGAGAAGCAGCAAGATTGCTTCTCTCCCTTCATCCCATAAAAGCAGTTATAATTTATAGGAACAAATGCAGCTGATACCTAGATGTAGAATTAATTGGCCGGAAGAGGAGGCAAAAGGGGACAAGAGGCAGCAAGTAAACAAGCAGATTTAGTGTAGACCTGAGTGGGCAATCTTCTTTCCTGCTCGCCATCATCTTTAGAGCCTGTATGTGGGACTGGTGTGTGTATTTTGGGGGAGAGGGCGGGGATATCTCAGCCCTTTAGCTTCCTTTCTCAGTAGGAAGGATTTTGTTCCCAGCAATGTCAAGTTAAGTCATTTTCATTTCATACCGTGTAACTAAAGCAGTTTTACTCGACAGCTTTTGAAAGTCATTCTTTTCATTACTTTAGGAATAACAATTTCTAACTTATAAGCTTTTGGAAATAATTTGATGAAAGCAATAGTTTAAATCCCTTGGTTGAGGGAAGGGACTTGGGATCAGAATAAAATATGGAAAGTTTGTCCAGTAAGTCCGTGTTTCCTGGAAAGTTACAGTTTATGTCTGAAAGGTACAGTTCATTAAGTCATTCAACAAGTGTTTATTAAGAACTCACCCTGTATAGTACTCTTCTGGGTGCTAGACTTTTTCTTCTCCAGAGTGATTTTGTCTTAAAAGCAGATATTCTCCTAACCTCCAGGGAATCTACTGTGGATCTGAAGTGTTAATTGAACAGTAAAATGACATCTCTTGACAAAATATGCATTATGCAATTTTACCTGAATCCAGGTTCATGTCCTTGTTGCATGTAAGATTTGGTTTTAAACACCCTATTTATTTTTTTCTTCCTATTCAATATAGTGACCAGTTTTGCAGATGAAGAAATAGAGGCTAAATGAAGTTAGGAATCTTGCCTAAGATCACAAATTTCTATAAGGAGCGTGGCCAGGCAATTAAACCTGGATCTTTCTCCAACCATGAGTTGCCTAGTGGCTTTTCATAATTTCCAATTTGCTTTTATTATGGAATCATTTTAAGGAATACTTCAATTGTATTTTGTTGTTGTTTTTGCAGTGTTGGGGATTGAAACCAGGGCCTTGTGCGTGCTAGGCAAGTGCTCTACCACTGAGCTATATCCGTACTAACCAATTTCAATTGCTTTAAAACAAATTTGAGAACAAACTTTTTCTGTTTTCTAGGAGGTAACACTCTACCTTAAGATAATAAATTGCTGCAAAATTTTGTAGTAACTATTCCTCTATCTACAACAGATTCTTGCTTAGTTTTGCTCTTAAATATAGCTAGGTGTACTTGTTTGATTCATTGTGATTCTGCTCGAATCTACTGAATGCTAATCATTATTGATGTTTAATGACATCATGTTGAAACATTGTTTCATTTTGAATAAAAGAGGCATATCCTATTTAATGACAAAATAATTCTGAGAAACTCAAGTGACCATATACTTGTAAACGTCAACAGATGTAACTGACATAAAAATTTTACTAGCATATAGCTGTAGTAAAAATGGAGATTGAGGAAGTAAAAATTATTACCTCATGCAATTGGGAAAATTATATGTCTATCTCAAATTGATGGATACTGAAAGCTAATCCACTTGGATTAAATTTCTTCTTCTTTTTTTTTTTTTTAAGTCTTTATTTATTTTTATGTGGTGCTAAGGATTGAACCCAGCGCCTCGCACATGCTATGGCAAGCACTCTACCACTGAGCCACAACCCCAGCCCCTGGATTAAACTTCTTTATGAAAGTAGTTACAATATTATATGGTTATATTAGTGGGAATTAGGTCTTTATATTAGTTGTATTACTTAAAAGTGCATTAAAAACAAAAGTTCTAACCGTTTTCAACACAGGTATGAAAGTGAAATTGTTAGCTTTTTAAAAAATGGACTTTATGTACATTATTAAAATAATATGAAAAGGTTATCTCCTGAGTCAGGCTGGCTACTGTTGTACACCTACTTTAGTAGCAGAATTATCTAGTTACAATTTATTACGTTCATTTTATTTAAGTACTGAAAGTTTTACTTTTTAAGCTTCTTTGCTAACTGAAAACAGAAACTAAAAAACAAAAATGTTAAGCACAACAATCATATGACCCAAAGAACTCTATTCTGTTTGGTAATGAAAAATAAGACTTTATCAAATTAAGATACAGCAGCTATCTTACATTAAAATTCAATAAGATATTTTCAGATGTGGTTGTATTTGGGAAAATTATATGTCTATCTCAAATTGATGTAAAACATTGCTATGTATTAGATTTATTTTTTCAAAGTTGAAAGGTACAATTGATAAGATGGATTTACTGAAACAAATCTAAAATTTCTACTAAGGGAAGATGAGGTTAAATTATGTAGGTTTTCTAAGCACATTCGTTTAAAAACTATAATCAAGAGCAAAGCAAGTCTGCTTTGCAAACATTTCTCTGAAGTTTCTTTTCATGTAAAATAACAGATTTTGCCTGTTTGAAGCAGTATTACATTTATCTTTCAAAATATTGTCTTATCTATGAGAACTTGTTATCTTATGTAAAAGTTATTGAGACAACATTTTAGTTCATGTTACAAATACCAATTTGTAATTTCATATTTGTTTTCCCTTTAGGTGTTTAAGTACCAACTTTGGAAAATAGTAAAAAAAAAAATTTCTTTGAAGGCAATACATATTTTTCATTTTTATTAGTAGTTTTTCAAATGCAACTTTGAATTGAATTCTATTATTATTAAGAGGTGAGTGAGATAATTATTTTTCTTAGTGGAGAAAGTGCATTTTCTTTATGATTGTACAATTATGTATTCTTTGTGTTTTCCCACCGCTTTTCTTCATGCTTTTGAATCATGAAGCAAGTTTCCTGCTCTAAGAGGTTTAATATTTGATTCTAATATTTGATCTTAGATTCCTCTCTATTTTTGATATAAAAGAATTCTAGTTTACTGCTTTAGGAAAATAAAAAGCCTTTTATTACATGTCAGTGTTTTGGAGACACTAGTAAAATAGATGTATCCTAAATACTTTTAGTTTTTGTTATTGTTGTTTATTTTCTTTCTACTGAAGAAAAATGAAAAAGATGGTGGATAAACCATTCTTGCAAATACCAGTTAAGATAAGTGCTATGGTGTTGAGATTTGTTTACTAGTTATTCTAAAAATCATCTGAAAATGGTTCTTATTATTCCTTGTAATTATTATTTTTAACCTTTGATAGCTATTACAGTATTCCTACTCTTTTTTTTAAGATTAATATGTTCCACAACTTTAAATATTGGTTTTAATATTATGATGGGTATTACAAATGAGGGAGCTTTGAGTTAGTAAAGTAATTCAGAGGTAAAATTTGGACACCACAACCTTATAGATCATCCTCACAGTACTGTTCTATTTTTGTCTTAGCATATACAAAATCTATTTTATTTTTTTTCCTGAGGTGCTAAGGATCAAACAGAGGGCCTCACACTTGCTAAACAAGCACTCTACTACCACTTAGCTATATCGCTAGTCTGAAATCTACTATTTTAAAGTTTAGCTATCACTCCCTGGAAACAATTTTATTCAGTTCAATTCAGTTTGCCACTTATGTACTTTTAAAAGAGAGTAAATATTTATAAGTGGCAAATATTGTTCCACATGAGCAAAGCCCCCCTATACTTCTAATAAGACTTAATAATATGATCTTTGAGGCTTCATCCTTATTCTTATCTTGTTATGGTTTGAATATGAACTGTTCCCCTAAAGCTCCTATATTAACACAAGCATATTCACAAGTGAAATATTAGAATGTGCAATTTGTGAACCAGTGTTTCTTCACCACACCCTTCAGCCATGCTCTTCTGCCTCTTTTGGGGCCCAGAGAAATGGACTTGGCCAACCACAGACTAACCCTATGGAACTTTGAGTCAAAAGAAACTTTCCTTCCTCTAAGTTGTTCTTGCCGGGTATTTTGGTCACAGTGATGAAAAAGCTAATACATACTTAATGTCTACTATGCGGATATATGAGCCCAGCCTTGCTCTTTATCATTCTAGAAGTACTTATTTTTTGCTTAACACAAAGCATATTTATCATTAGTATGGTTACGTCTATATTCCTGTCTTAAGGTGCTGACCTTTTTGCTTTTCTTTTTAAACTCATTGCCTAGAAATGTTACCTCTCCACCATCTCTTCTCTCAAAATAATTGCATAACAAATGTCTCCAAGTGGTTTAGACTTCAACATGAGCTAACTGTGTCTTGAAATTAACAGCACTTCATAGTTTCAAGGGAATGGGATGGCTACTGGGTGAAAAGCCTAATTGCCTTTAAAAATTACTTATGCTTGATCATTTATTTTTTAGTTCAGATTATTTCAGGTACTTAGTAATATTTTGCTTTGTTGGTAGTTTTTAATTTGTACTTTGGTCATTTGCATGTCTGTTCTGATCCATGCCACAGTACATTTAATATTATTCAAGGAAATGTGCAGGTGTTTGTGTTGTTTGGAAGTATGAATAGTACTGTTACTCAAAAAATGTGGAAAAGTTAAGTGAAGCCTTCCTAAAAGAATTTTCTATAGAAACGTTTGCGATTTATTAAGAAAGGGAAGATTTTGTTTAGCCATCATCTGCCTATGCATGCAATTGGTAATGTGCTGCTTTGGAGTCAAAATGATTATGAAAATGTGAAACCTATTTACATTGTTGTCATGTTTGTATTGCAACAGCCTCTTAAGGGAGAGAGTGCATCATTACAGTTCACATCTTTGCTATCACTTAGCATCTTATATAGTATTTTCATATCAATTTCATTTTGATAGTAATGCTGTTTAATAAGTGTTGCTGTTCGGTATTACTGTTGTATTTATCCACTGAAAAGTTGAAGAAATTGTAGAGTTTGAAATTGACTTTCCTGTAAGTTTATGTTAGATGCCTGTGTGCTAGGCACTCTGCTTTATCCCTATAGCATTTATAATCTTAAAGCTAAACTTAAAGTTATATGTATCATTGTCTCTATTTTTTATATAAAGGTAAGGGAGATCACGTGGTTAATTAGTAGTAGTACTTATTATGATAGTTCAGAACATGGATAGGGAGTGGAATGGGAATTGGGTAGGTAAAATAGAGGACTGCTTTTTTTTAACCTTCATATAGTTTACATTTTTAATATTTGACACATTACTTTACAATTTTTAACATGTTTTGTTAAAATATAAAATCTAAAGTAAGAAACTACACTTTGTAAATTGGTTCTTCCTATTCATATTTTCCATGTGAATTATGAAGTTAGAATAGCCCAAGGTACTAGCTTAAAAAAAGAATGATAGTATAAAATGGAGCCCATTTGAAGACAGCCATTCATTTTTCAAAATAAGAGGTTTGAGTCAGATAATTGAGAACTCAAAACTAATCTTTATTCCGTCCCATTTCACAAGTTTAATTTTTTTCTAGAGTTACTATGATAAGCAGTAGTAGGAAACAACACAGAATAGTGGAAATAATAGGCTTTGAAGTGAGATACCTGGTTGGTTGGTTGGTTTTTTAATACCTGTCTGCCCCTTTGTTACTTGTTTTATATATTAAGCCAGTTGCTATTCCCCATAACTCAGATAAGGAAATGGAAGTACAAAGTAATGAGCCAGAAGTCACAGTTATTTTAATTGGTAATGGAAACCCATTAGTTTGACCCTGGGGCCTGTGTTAGTAATCACTCTGGCACCTTTTAAGTGTTATAAGGATTAAAGGCCATTTTAAAAGCATTCAGTCTTATTACTAAGTTGAGTATACTTTCATTTTTTTCAGTTTTGTAAATGTTTAAAATTAATTTTCTTTCATGAAGAGAACGTTAATTTTACAGCATAGAAAAAAGAAGTTAAAGGTCAAATGATGCAAATGTCTAATTCCTTGATTAAGAAAAGCTAATATGAAAAAGCTAGAAACTATTTAACAATACATATAATTCTATTGAATGCCCCCCAGTGGATTTTTTTTTAATTGTGAAATATTCCCTCAAATGGCCTTTGCTCAATTGAAATTCCAAAAGAATCTTATATAACTTAAAAATTGTACCGAGTAATCAGTGTTCCCCAGCTAAATGTTTCTGTTGACCCTACTCAATCCAAAAAGGAAAACTAATCTGTACAGATAAATCAACTGTGATTTTTTTTCCCCCAAGCTCTAATTATAGCTGAGAATACTGTGCATAAGAATGTTGGAAATGGTGTCTTTTTAAAAGAAAAAAATTTTTTTTCAGTTGTAGATGGACTTCATACATTTATCTTATTTATTTATTTATTTATTTTTATGCAATTCTGAGAATGGAACCCAGTGCCTCACACATACTAGGCAAGCCCTCCACCACTGAGCCTCAACCCCAGCCCCTGGAAGCAGTATCTGAATGGTTAGACTACTACTACTTTTTTCCTCTGTTAATCATGAAAACAAGGCTGTGACAAATTACCACATACAGATTTTTGCTTATAATTTCAAGGTGTTCTATCATTTTTTAAACATATAGACAGAATCACTGCTATTGGAAGACAGTATAAACAATGCAAAAGATGTATTTGGAAATAAACTTAGGTAGGCTTTTTGTTGTGTTCTGGTGTGTGTGTATTTGTCCATGTCCATCTGCCCGCCTGTTAGTCCCCTGGTACTAACTTATTAGCTTCTCCGTTTAGATGGAGAAAGAAGAAAAAGAAGCATGGAATTTACAATTTTTATTTTAAAACAGGTAATGTTTATAGAATTACCTAAATTTATAGAATTAGAACTAGAACAGAAATATAATTGTGTAATTTATAAGTTAGGGATAGAAAATAAAGTAGATCTACAGATGAGTTTTTCAGATTCACAAATTTATAGAAGTAGTAATTTATTTCCAGGGTTTTCCTTATTGATCTGAATAGTTATAGGGGAAAACAAATTTATATCCCTCACTTTGAGATTTTTTACCTCAACTAAATTTCCCCTTAAAGCTCACAGTTAACATTACTGTCTTCATTCACCCAGCCTTTTCTGCATGCACATCCTGTATATATACCTTAGTAATGAGCTACCTGCCTGACAAGACAGAGCACATTGTTTGAAGCACTTGTAAAGTTTTTAGCACATGATTGTATTCAGTAAGTTTTTTATCACATGCTGTCTTTGGTCCAGTATAATGTTGTTGGTCGCTAGGCACCAAGGTGCACGCCTGTAGTTCCAATTACTTGGAAGGCGGAGGCAGAAGGATCAGTTGAGCCCAGGGGTTTGGTGCCAGCCTAGGCAACATATCAAGACCTGTCACTTTGATAAGAAGGGTGATGAACAGGGAGATCAGGAACACTAAAGTTAATATTTGCCTTCCCTGTTCTCAAAAAGTATTTGTTAAGGGGAAGACAACTAATTTTGATATAAAGGCCTTTTGCTTGTGCAAGATTTGCAGAATTGTGTGGATAGGCACGATATCACCATCTTTTCCATTAGTGTAAACAAAAGTTGGTAACAAAAAAACAAGTGACCTGCATTATGTAACTGGGAAAATGGTATCCATCAAGTAGAGTGATTGTATATAGATGTATTACATGAAGAACTTAGATCTAAATGCACAAGATCTTTCACAAGCTTGAGACTGGAAAGAACTAAAGCTGTTCTTTATAGTATTATAGTATTGGTACCATAAGAGGATTGGTATTATTTTGAAGATTTGCCTAAGCATTATTCTCTGGTATTCGTAGGCATCTTTTTGGCATTCTATCAATCAGTTTAAATTTTCTTATCAATGTAGTAGTGTAGTGGTGGTTCCCTACCTACAAGCAGGAGGACGTTTTGGGTCTTCAAAGTATTATGGAGAACTTTTAAGTCATATTTTAAAAGCCTATCAGAAAACACGTACTTTTCCATAGTATGACTTGGGGGGGGGGCATTTTGATTAGAAATAGCATTAACTGTTAATAAAAATTATAACATTTGACATTCAAATGTAACTAGAAGTTTTCCCTAATTTACTCCCAAAGATGAGTTAAGTGATCCTGCCTTGTGCATACTTATTTCACTATGACAAGATCTTTTTGTAATTCTCCCTTTGAAATATAAAGTGGAAAGCAGTGGTCGACGGAGCAATGATATTTGAAAGCTTCAAACTTGTAATTTATTTCGTCTTATCTGGAATACTCTTCCCCAGAAATTCAAATGGCTGTGGATACAAATACCAGTGATTCAAAGTAGTTGTTTATTAAATCCTACAAGGATCTTTAAAATTATTATTCAGTTGATCATAAGTTTAATATTACGGAAATTTGTAGTAAATATTCCAGGAAATTTGAAAGTGGTGAGAGGAAAAACTTGGTTGCTAGGATGGAAATATTAGTAACTCAAAAAATTTGTAGATGATAGCCTATAAAAAAAGAAATATCGTGGGCGCTGTTGAATAACAATAGTTGCTAAAACGCAATTTTTTGTAAGGAAGTGAATGCTTTCGAAGAAGCAGAAGGGAAAAAAAGCCTTCTGAAAAACAAGGAGCTAAAGGGGTAATACGCTCTCCGTCAGATCGCGCTCCCTCTTGCGTTTCTCCAGCGGCGGGCAGGACCTGCTGCGCCTGCGCGGGGAGGAGCTGACGGTGACGCACCCGTGCGCCGCACAGCATTGTGGGGAGCTGGGGTCCGCGAGGGTGGTGGTTGGAGGCGAGGTGGGGGCGGTCGTTTGTTTTCTCGTGGTCTCGAACTCGCGCGCTCTCTTCCCCTCCTCCCGGCGTGCAGCGGGGAGGAGAAACGGCGGCGGCGGCGGCAGCAACAGCAGTGGCTGTAGCATCGGATACCCCTCTTTCCTTTCTCGTGAACCGGTTCCTCTTCCCTTTCCCTCTCACTGTTTGTTGTGTGTTTGATGTGTTAAAGCAGGAGCGAGAACTCGAGCAGCGCCATGAGCAACACTACCGTCGTCCCCAGCACTGCGGGCCCGGGCCCCAGCGGCGGGCCGGGTGGCGGAGGTGGCGGCGGAGGCGGTGGCACCGAGGTAATCCAGGTGACTAATGTCTCCCCGAGCGCTAGCTCTGAGCAGATGCGGACTCTCTTCGGTTTCCTAGGCAAGATCGACGAACTGCGCCTCTTCCCGCCGGAGTGAGTATCGTCCACCATCACCGTTTTTGCTAACGCCGCCCCATCCTGGGCCTAAGCAACACCATTTCCGTAGGCCCTGTGGCTGTTTTCCCTGCCAGGCTATGTTAGTTGGTCGCGGTGGTTGCATTTATAGACGAAAAGATGCGTTTTAGGCCTACAAAAAAATGTAGAGAGCAGAGAAGACTTTTAGTGATTAGGAGACACTGGCTCTTAATTTGGGGATTTTTTTTTTTTTCTTTTAAATTGTGCCAACGTGGTCGGTTGCTTTGGGATAAAGCAAGACAATCTGTCTTTTGTCATTTCGCGTATAGGTTAAATTCATTTTTTAAAAAAGGCAAGGTGTGTTTTTTCTCTGCGGTCTTTGGAAGAAAAGTAACAAAACTATTCAGGCCAGCGTTAAGTTTGTGTTAAAATTTGTAGGCCGCTATTTATTGCTAAGTATTGCTTTTAAGTGATTCTGACCCAGGGAATATGACAGGACAGATGATTAATTCAGTGAGCCTGAATACTTGATTTATATATATATCTACACATATGCACACACACATAATGGATTATGAAGAGTCCTAGTGTTTTTCTTTTTTTAATGTACAGATTTAAGATATTTCTCATTTGTTCTTAAGAACGAATTTTATAGAATGTCGACATTTTGATTTAGAGTGTAATGACTTTTTTGTCCTTCTTTTAAAAAGTTATGAAGAAAAAGTATTGTAGCAAACACTTGAAAAACAATTGTGTGCTCTTTGTAAATGCTTATTAGATGAAAGTGAAAAATGTTATTGGGAGTTTTATGATGTCACTTAAATTCTAAACCCGAAATTGAGATCCTCAAGAAATCTGTTGTGGTTGGTGTAATAAATCATTGATTTTTGTACACTTCTGCTCAATAGAATAATAAAATCAAATCATAATGAAGTATTTAAGTATTATCACATTTCATGACTTTCTGTTTTCCAAAGACTTCAAATTGCTGTGTTCTTGATTTTTAAGTAAAATGTACATGTGGAGAAAGGATTCAGTTATTGCCTCAGATGTGCTGTGGAGTTTTGGACACACGTTATTTTGAACAGAAACTTCTTTTATAATGGACAAATTCATAACATGAGCTATAGAAAGGGATGTTTTGCTGATACTCAGCTTTTTCATAATGTATCATTAAGTTGTTTGTAACATTAATAGTAAAATGACAAGAAATAAGTGATATGTTTGAATATTTTATTACTGGGGTAATAAAATAATTTGAGATGCTCAGTTTGCTACATAATTCCTTCCACTTCCACAAGTTCCTAAGAATTTCATATAGTTGCTGACTTTAAAGTGCTTTTTTGTTCTCTGAGGATACTCCCTTATGGTGCATTTATAAAAAGTAAAAGAAGTTTTGGGCATTTTACTGGTTCGTTTTTTTTTTTTTACTTAATGAGTGGGCAGTATCTTAGAGGAAGCCATGATGGACAAGAATCTGCCTTTTTCCTTTGTAATCAGGTGAATGGGTATGTCCATCATAACCCTGATAGCTGCTGGGCAGTTGTTCATCCAGTCATGTGACCTGGGGTGCTGTCCATTTGGAGGATTCCTTTCCCTGTATTAGAAGATAAATATTGATAAAATAATGCTCTTTGGCTCTCTACTTTATGTTCCCACATACAATCATTTTCTTCTGAAAATATAGTGACTGGTATATATCTTAGTGGGCCTCTAGATTTGAGCAGTACTATTGATGGTTAATTTTTATCTGTTTAATGTTGAGTTTTATTTGTTCCTTTATTACTTTTTCTCAATAGCTAGTCTTATCTGAAAAGTTGATAATACTTGATGATTTCTATAAATTCAGTAGAGTTATCAGTAGTTTGCCAGGATTAATGTGCTTTGGGCTCCCAGTGGTACAGATTGGCTCATCACTCCATAAATATTTTCTTAACACGGAATAAGATTGAATGGCTCTATTGTGAATACATCTTCACCTGATTTTGTGTGTTTGTTTGTGTGTGTCATTTGGATATATTTGTATGTTTTTAATTTCCCCCAAGAAGGCATTCATATCTGCCAAGAATTCTTTTCTCCCAGAATGTTCTTGACATACGCGCTTCCATTTGTTTCTCAATAGTCACTTTAATCAGAGAATCTTTCCTTGACCACTGTATCTAAAAATATGGCTGCTCTGTATCTTCTCTATACTACTTAGCACTGCTTGGGTTTTTTTCTGTTGCCCCTGTCACCAATTGACAGGTAAGTTCAGCCTTCTCCCTGTCATTAGAATGAGGTTCTTGAGTTCATCAACATTATCTGCAAGGCATTTTTTAAGTACATATATGTACCATATACACCTAGTGAAATGCTTCAGTTTTAAATGTCTATTTTGGGGAAATTTTTCTGGGATTATATCATGTAGATTACTGGAGAAGGTGTCCAGCTTGGTTTTGCTATTGGACTTGTCTGTTATTTCAATTCCTTAAAGCCAAAAACTACTGGCCTGTGATATTACATAGAGAAATGTTGTCTATCTTCACAGGACAGGAAAACAGCCCTGCAACTATTTGAAAGCATCTATCATTGTCTCCTACATTTGTTTTCTTAAACTGTGATGTTGACTAGTTATTGAAACATATTGGAAATTCAGCATTGTTTGTCTACTGTAAGATGCTTTCAGAATTTTTCTTACCTTATTCATTACAAACCCAGAAGGTGTATTTGACCTTATTTTCAAATAGTGAACTGAAATTCTCATAGGTTGTTTTGTCTGCCCAAGCTAAGCTATCGGTGTCAAAACTAGCATTTGAACTCTTTTAATATGTGACTTTTCCCCTACCATTGGATCAGGGGTTTGTTGGTTTAGTGAAGCAATTTGTGAGTTGTGGTATTATTTAAGTAGATACTAAATGTTTAGTTTTAGTGGGATTTCACAGTGGAGAATACAATTGGAGTGCTTATTAGTTAATGATCCTAGTGAAGCATGTCAGTTATACAGTAACATCTACTGTAGCACTGAATATATTTTAAAAGAATTTAATTCGAATTTGAAGAAATGTTTGTTTTAATGCAACATTTTGCTGTGCATTTCTTTATATATTATAGGTCAGTAGGATTAAGTTTTAGGTGAATGTCATCTTTCTTACATATGCTTCTTTGGGGGGGCTTTGGAGATACTTTGCTCTATAAGCTCAAAATTCTACAATCAGAAGTGGTTGGCACAGTGTTAAGGTAAGAGTTTAAAGCCTGGGATTGGTGGCCTAAACCAGAGGTTCTCCAACTTAAGTGGCTGTGAATATGTACTTGGGATTTGTTAAGAATCAGGACTCTTATAAAAGGAATTCACTGATTCAGTGAGCTTTAGATGAATATCAAGATTTTGAATTATATGTATGCATCCTAGAAGATTATGAAACGGCCCTCAGAGGACACTTTAGAATAACTTGAGGGCTGAGAATGTAGCTCAATGGGAGAGTACCTTGCCTGGTACTCATGAAGCCCTGGGCTGGATCCCGAGCACCCAAAATCAATACTATCAGCTTTTAAGGTGGAAGACAAAAACATCATACAGGATTTTTCCTAACAATCTTCTCATTTGTCCCTGTGTCATCTAGACTTGCACAAAATTCCAGAGTACAAAAGATTACCCAGTAAATGGAAATAAACTGAACATATAGGCAGTTCTGAAGAAACTATTCATTACATGTTCTTTAACAGTGTTATTTTTTTATCATTGTATTTGTTTTTTCTTTTAATCAGATAACAATAGTGGTAAAGAATTGGTAGAGAGTGCTTGCTGTGTGCATGTGCACATATGCTAGACAAGCACTCTAGTGCTGTCTACTGCTTATACATCCAGCCCTTTTTTTTTTTTTTTTTTTTTTTTTTTGACTTTGGGACAGAGTCTCATTAAGTTGCCCAAGCTGGCCTCAAACTCATGATCCTCCTGCCTCAGCCTCCTGAGTCCATGGGATTACAGGTGTGTGCCAGCCACCTCACCAAGCTGTTTGATTTTTTTTGTTGAGGTTTAAGGAAATGACTGCTGGGTAAGAAAAACCTTATTTCAGACATCAAGTAAGAGTTCAGTGCTTTTTCCTCTAGAAATCTTCATTTAATTAAAGGAGAACTGAGAACCTGGATTTCTTTTTCCCTCACAGATGCTTTTAATGTGTTACCAAGAACAATTTGATTGTTACTGCCTTTGGGCATTGGTTTTCAAATAACTTGATGTAGGATTGAAAACCCTGCCTTTTTTTTAATCTTTTCCTTTCACAGGGAGTGTTATGACGGAAATTGGAACCCTTTTTTTTTTTTTTTTTTTAAGCCTACTTTTTTTTCTTTTATCTGAGGAAGCAGCTTGCTGAGGAAAGAAGCTTTTCACCTGGTGAAGTAATACAGGGGTGAACAGGTGCCTAAAACTTTAAGCACCCCTTGTGTGCTTAAAATTTTTCTTTGAAAGTGCTCCAACCTAAAAAAGACCCAATTGTTGAAAGTGCCTAGGAGTCATAGCTATCGGTTAAAAACATCAATGTATAGAACCAGTTCATTATGCAGGTCAAGAAAACTCAGATATACCTCTTAATGATAGTCTTTATTTTTGAAGTGGAAAATTCTTAAGTTTTTTTACCCTGAGAAATTAGCAGAAAGAAAGGTTTCCAAACCAAAACTAAACAAATAGTTTGTATGAGAGCTGGTATGTGGACCATTGTAGAGCATTTGCCTAGTCCTTGGTTCAATCCTCAGCACCACAACATTGATATTATGAAAAGCATGTTGATATTTTTGTGATCTCACTTTGAGATTAAGAAAACTCTTTCTAACCTGATACATTGTAGATTTAAATAGGGATTAATGAGTATTTATCTACAGTGCAACTGTCTACATTAGTGTACAATACATTATTTTTCTTTTGGATTGGTTAAAAGAAATGTATGTGCAATTACATGTTTTTTTCTGATTATTTTACTTGGGGTATAAGCATTGGTTTGCAAACAACCTTTGTGTCTATGCTGATAATCTTTTTGTTTGTTTTTTGTTTATTTTTTAGTGATTCACCTTTGCCAGTCTCATCTCGTGTCTGCTTTGTTAAGTTCCATGATCCGGACTCAGCAGTTGTGGCACAGCATCTGACAAATACTGTATTCGTTGACAGAGCTTTGATAGTCGTACCATATGCAGAAGGTTTGTGCTTTGTTTTAACTACCTGTGTGGGCATCCTAAGATGACCATCTACTTCAGTATAGTTGTAGAATGAGCACTAGTAGCATGTTACAATCTAAGCAATTAACATTTTGAAACCCTTGTTATACTGCAGTACATAATTCTTACTTGCAGTTTTTTTTTTAATTCTAATAATTAGAAATCAGATATTTTTAAAAGAATCTTATCTTTTGCTTTCACATTCATTGAAACCACTCCTAATTGTAACTCTGAGATACATCTACTTGGTTAATGTTAGATTTTATGAAAAAGTCCCAAAGGTAAATGGCTAACTAAAAAAAAAAAAAAAAAGAAAAAGTTCTTCAAGTGCATGTTGTTTTTGTTTTAAATAAGTGACTAGGTTAGTCTTATTTCCTTGAACTGATAACTTGTGCAAAAACAAACCAAAAAAAAAAAAATCCCACGTTGAATTCCAGTATACCAAGGGTTGCAATGATACTGGTTTTTGTGAAAGTTCAAGAATTCCTATAGCTTAGGTGCCAGATGGGCACTGGGTATTTTGTTTTTATGCCAGATTTTCTTGTTCATTCTTGTTATATTTTCTAGAATATCTCTAAATAATAAATTCTTCTCTCTGTTATTTGTGTGTGTGATTTTTGTAGTGGAGAAGGCAAATGCAAAACCCTTCCAGATGACTGAAAAACAGTGGGTCCTCTGCAGCTACAGGGGATTCTAGACATTAACTAAAGGCCAGCAAGCACTCAAGTCCCCCAAGTGTTTTCCTGGTGTAATCATTTGTTAACTACATTTTCTCTCTTTTTACATTTTAGGCTGTTAATTTGACAGAAAAATATGAGCAGGTTTTTTGGATCTAAAAAAGCCACTGTGACAAGACAACACTATTTTAATGCCATTTTGTAAAAATTTCTAAGGCATATTTTATAATTAGTTTGTTCCCAGTGTACTGCTACTTGATTTGCTTTTTGGTAACTATAAATTTTGATCAAAGAAATCACATGATAAAATTAATGGATTTGAAGTTAATGATTTAATTTACTGACCAGGATTTACTTGCTTTCCCCTTTGTTTAATAAACTGGTCAGTGGAAGCAGAATCTTGTTATTGTTGATTTTAGATGCTATTGGATCTTTGAATACAAATGTGAACATTTACACCATATACCTTGTAAAAGTTGTGAAATGTCTAAATTTGGAGAAATTGCCTCTGGTTTTCTAAAGAAATTAAGTTATATTCAGAGATGGGTTAAGGCATGCTATTTAATGAGTACATTTATCTCCATAATATTAAATTGTATGGGCTCAATTTTAAGGTTCTTAAAAATAGATAATTTTTGAGTTAGTATGTTTTGGTTAAGCATTTCTTTTATGTCACTTGTGCCTATTATAGGATAAGACTAAATCACCAACAGAAAATTGTTACAGAGTTTACAATTCAGGATGAGTAAAATATATATAGGTCTTGAAACAAGGGTCAAACCATGTGAGTAATATGCAAAATGTTTGAGTTAGCCATTAAATTTAAAGAATGCTTATTGGCAAAGTGTTACAGTTCCCAACCCTGGAACATAATACAGTATATCATATAACTGACTTTCATAAATATTTTTAGGTCCCAGTAATTTTTCAGATCTGGTTTTGAAAGTGAGGTTGGGGAATACATAAGAGAATTACAGAAGTATTTTGTTCTGAAATCTATTTTTGCTATATTTAATTATGGTATGATATGCTGTATTCATGTTATCTCCACTAAGTAATTTGATGTATTCAATTCCTTTGTCACCATTCACTCTGGTTTTAGCTCTTACACTTTGGTGTTGGCTCTTGGTCAGTTGTTTTAGAACAATAGACAAAAAAGTCTACGGTAAGGAACAGTCTTAATTGATAAAACATATAGCCAGTTTGGAAGGAACTCTTTAAAGTAATGGATATGGGGGTTATTTAGGTTCCTTTGGTTAATGTTTGTTTCTTTTGTCTGTTTCTTTTTCTTTCATTTCTACACATTCATGCAGTATTTCATGGTTCTATCAAAGCAGCAGTAAAAAAAATACTCTTGACGCATGAAAATTAACTGGTGAGGGGCCTCATTGCTATTTTTAAATTGTAGTTTTATTTTTAAATAGTTTTTTTTTCTTAATCAGAGGATCAGATGCATGACTTTTTTTTTTTTTTTTTATGGATGCAGATCTTCTATCAGGTGTCTCACAATAAATTCAAGAGGATTTTAGTTGGCCAGAAATGTTGCAAATGCACTAATTTGACTAAGATGTTGATACTTAATATATCCTCTTGAGACATAATTTTGCATGCAAAATTATCCCTTAATCTTTGTAGGTTTGTTAATATTGATGCATAAATGCCCTATATCTAAATGATCTTCTCCCCCTTCCCCTCCATAACTCTTGGTATCTAAATTGATGACAGCTCTGACACAAGCAAGATAACAGTGCTGTGTAGTATACATTTGTTTATATTATCGGCACTTCTCAGTATAGGTGGAAGGAACCATTACCTTTATTTAACAGTGGTTTTTCTTTTTTGTTGTTGTGTTTTACAGTTCTTTTCCCTGGTTCAGCCTGAACTATATACCAGGCCCTGCTGAAAATACCACCCAACAGTTTTCTTCTGCAGCTTATCCAGTTTCTCTTAAGTGCCCTGTACATATTGTATGTTTTATGATGAGATGCAGTTTCTTAATATGTATTACAGAAATACTACTGGTATTTGCAAATATGTAGTTTAATTGTATTATTGAACTCTCATTTTGGGGGCTTGGGCACATTAACAGATTAATCCATCTGTATAGGGCTTTTGCTGTTGGATAGAATTTAAATTGTCTACATAAATATTTGTCTTAGGACCCTTAGATTTCATCTGAATACACAGATTAGGCTTTAAAAACAGACACACATGTCATTTGGGGCATAAGAAGTTTGGCTCAGTTAGCTTTTGAACTGACACTCAGTAGCATTTTTTTGGTATGGTTAGCATGGCACATGTTGGAACATAAAGCATTTTACTGTACAGGTAAGGAATGTGCCATGTTGTTTTACCTATTCTCTCTCACTACCACCCCCCCCCCACACACACACACACACACATACACATTCCGTGTGTATTCAGAAACATTCATATTCATTTTCATGAGTCAGCAAAAGCCCTACGCTTGATTCCAACAGAATATTTCCTTTACATACTTTTCTTCTCTTAATTTTTACAAAATTTGTATGGTAGGTGTAAAAAAAAATCATAGTAACTGTACCATATTATTAACCCCTAAATCAAACTTTTTTTGTCTTGTGTATCTTGATTTTTCTGTGTGCTTTATAGTGAAGCAGCCGACACGAGTCGTTGTTCATAAAACAGCTTTTGAAAGTTGAGAGCACACCCCTGGAGAACCGACTGTGCTTGCTTACGTTTGGTTCATGACTTAAAAATCGAGTACAGGTGATGAAATCTTGGCAGTGTTAACAAAAAAGTAGTGTGTATTGTGCTATTTTTTTTTTACTCTAGAAACTTAACCATTTGTAGACAAAAAGGAAACAAATTTTCACACATTGAAGTTTCATTCTGACATAAAAATTAATGATAAATAATCATATAGAGATCAAGCTTTATATTTTAGCGAACAATAAGTACTTTCAACAAACTCAGGTGGTGTATCAGGGAGACATTTTCTGGGTGTTTTTGTGTGTTTTCTGTTTTACAAAAAAATGTGTTCTCATGCAGGGATATTTCTCTGCAGGAGTTATTCCTGATGAGACTAAGGCTTTGTCTCTGTTGGCACCAGCAAATGCAGTGGCAGGTCTTCTGCCTGGTGGTGGACTCCTGCCTACACCTAACCCACTTACCCAGGTACTTGTTCTCTTGAATTCTGAAAAGATGGAAAGAAACCCAGAACTGTGGATAAAGTATATTTTACTTTTTAAGTGCTCTCAATATTCTAGCACATAGAGCAATATCATTTAAAGGACTGTAGTATAATCAAATACTACAGAGACATTCTCCAAAAGTTTGTACTTTAAGAACATCCTAAAAATTATAAAATATGTTTTGTACATATCTCAAAACAACCTATTAGTAATTGTGGCAGGGGTGGGTGATCTTCCTCAGTGTTAACACTTGAGAACATGCCATTACAAATTTGTTCATTTGATCCAGGAAGGAAAATAAAGCTGAAGTTCAAACTGCTTAAATGAAGCTTTCAATTGCCCTTTGATTTTTTTGCTGTTATTGTGGGGTTGGGATTAAGAAAGTGGCTTGAAAATGAAATTGAAATCTGGATTGGGATGTTTGCTTTCAGGAAAGTAAAGTTGATTAGAATAATGATTCTAACTGGTAATGCTTTAAGAAGCACCCTGAATTTTACTTTTGTAGTGCTGGAATTGAATTCAGAACTTCATGCATGATGGGGAAATGCTCTACCACTGAGCTGCATCCCCAGCCAGAAAGGCATTGAAATGTCTATATTTTAACTACTCCAAGAGATTATACAGGGCTTTTAAAAATAATAGCGAATGATGTGCCTCAACTAGAAATTTATAAAAATATCCTATCATGTCATCTTTCCTATATAAATAATTGGTTCTGTTAACTGTAGAATATGGAATCATGGAAAAGATCAGTATCTCCTGGATTTTAGATATAAATTTGATTAGTACTTAGCTTCTTGGCTTTGGTTTTGTAGTTTTGTTTGTTTGTCTTGCCTATGGGACGATAAAGGGGTAATTTCTGTGTCTTTTGATGTATAAAATTTTATATAATAATTATTAGTATTAACAAAGCATTTCACTTGTACTTAGTAAATACTTAAATTACAGAGTTGGATGATTTGTATTGACCAGATAGTATATGAAACTAGATGAACTTTCAGCACAGTTCTTGTGGAGAAAGACTGCTTCTAAAGTTTCAGAATTTTACAAGATTTCTGTCTGTTTAAATTACGGGCTAATCGGAATTAGGCAGGAAATAGAACCACATAGTAATTTGAACAGGGAAAATTTAATATAAAATAATAATAACTATTAGGGAAGCAGTAGGGGAAATCTAATGAATACAGGAATCATAGTATGAGAAACACTGCTGAGGCAGAAAGAATACAAGGAAGAAGCATATTTAGACCACAGGACTTAGACTCCTGAACAGATTTAGATTCTGAAAGGGTAGTGATTTTCCTGGATTCCCGTAGAACAAACCAGGAAACTATTCAAGGAGACGGCACTAAACTATATGGGAGGTAAAGGCCACTGAGTATCCCACGTGACACTGTACGAATAATCAAGAGACACAGAATTACTTCCTCAGTATCCTTCCAGCATTCTTAATAGGGCAGTCAGTCAGTCAAGGAGAAATGAGTGATGTCTCAAGTAGCACAAAACACAGCACTTAAAGTAAGTGCTAACCATTGGTATAAGGAACAAAAAAAGTCTTAATGAACAAAACTTGAATATTTACAGATTGGCGCTGTTCCATTGGCTGCTTTGGGAGCTCCTACTCTTGATCCTGCCCTTGCTGCACTTGGGCTTCCTGGAGCAAACTTGAACTCTCAGGTACAACTTCTTATTCTATTTTTTGGCCTACTTTTCTAGAAAGTTTGTTTTATTAACTGTTCATTTGCATTTCACAAGCAGGGGTTTAAAGTAGAAAATAGGTGTGTAGGTAGTTAACACAAAAATCAGTATGTCATGCAGTCAGTAACTGGGACATGCTTTTTTTTGGTACCAGGATTTGAATTAAGGGACACTCAACCATTGAGCCACAACCCCAGCTCTATTTTGTATTTGAACTCATGATCCTCCTCTCAGCCTCCCAAGCCTCTGGGATTACAGGTGTGCGCCACCATGCCCAGCTGATTGGGACATGCTTTCATAAGTTATTTTCCTCTTGCAAATTTTTGGGTTTTGTTTCGGTTTGATGCGTTTTATTTTTTCATTGAAATTTAGCTCTTTTTTTTTAATCCTTGTTTTGTAGCAATCTTTTAATACTAAGAAGTTGGAGTTTTATTACATGTGTATTTAAAATGTTCATTTCCCTCTAAAAACAATCAAGAAGTAGTTCTGTAAAATCTAAATTGTTAGCTCTCACTCTTCATATAACTTGTTAAAGCCGTTCTATTCAGTACAGTAGCCACTAAAAAATACACTGCCACCTGTCTTTATTTTTTTAATGTGGATTGTAAAAAAATTAATAATGTGTAGCTTGTGTTTTATTCTGTTTGTTAGCATCATGCATAGAGCATGTTACTTTTTATAGGTTTGACAAAATTGCCTCAGTGCATTTCAGTGTACTGAGAAAATAAATAGCATCGTTATTTGTTGCATGTATTCTTTACTAATTTTTTGGTTTTTTGCAGTCTCTTGCCGCAGATCAGTTGCTGAAGCTTATGAGCACTGTTGATCCCAAGTAAGGGTTTTGTTTGTTTTCATTCATGATAGTGTGTGTGAATGTCTAGTGTATCATTATTTTTGATAGAAGTACATGTTCTCAAGGCATATGTTACATATTGTTTTCTAGAAATGAGGGAAATCTAGAAGGAAACCCACGTATATTAAGGGTTTTATTTTAGTGTAATGTGGGTCTTTCATAATAAATATAAATGGCTTATACCAGAATAGTAACATAAAAAAATATCCTAGAATCAAACACAGTGGTGCACATCTGTAATCCCAGCAACTCAGGAAGATAAGGCAGAAGGCACATTTGAGGCCAGCCTCAGCAACTTAACCAGACCCTGCCTCAAAAAGGATCACGGCCGTAGCTCAGTGGTAAAGTGCTGCTAAGTTTAATCCCCAGTAATCTTTCCACCTCCCCCTACTTAAAATAAAGAATGTGCATTCAACTAGGGAAAGGACAGAGATGTTTAGTTTAGGGAACTTACTATAAAGGGAAAACTTATTTTGAAGATCAAAGGCTATCCCTGCGGATAGTAGGACTTAAAGAAGCAAAGCTGAAGGGAAAACTATCCCAAACCAAAGTCATGCAAGTTGCATAATCAATAGCTCACACATTCTTTGGGGATTTTTCTTATAGTTAAAATTCAAACGGGGCCAGATGCAGTGGCAAACTCATGTATCTCAGCGGCTTAGGAGGCTGAGGCAGGAGGAACATGAGTTCAAAGCCAACCTCAGCAACATAGCAAGGCCCTAAGTAACTCAGTGAGACCCTTACTGTAAATAAACTGTGGAAAAGGGCTGAGGATGTGGCTCAGTGGTTAAGTGCCCCGGGCTCAATCCCCCGTACTACTGCCCCCCTCCCAATTCAATCATGTACCCACCATCCAACTTAAAATGTCACCAATAGATTGAAGTTCTTTCTGTATCTATTTTATATGACATTTCCCACCATTTCCTCAAATCTACTGTACTAAATTGGTGTCTATAATTTTTTTTTTAACATGTATGAACCACTAAGGGCCATCTTTAGATCTTTAGCCTTCCCTTGATTTTTTTTTTGGTGTGTGTGTGTGTAACTGGAAATTGAACCCAGGGGCTATCAGTAACTGAGCCACATAACCAGCGGTTGTTATATTTCATTTTGAGACAGGCTCTCACTGAGTTACAGAGGCTGGATTTGAATTTGTGATGTGTCTTACCCTCCTAAGCCACTGGGATTATAGGCATGCACCACTGCACTTGGCTCCAGTCAGAATGTCATGTGTAACTTTGATGGGCCATTGTCCATTGCCTCAGTTTCTCCCCATTTGTAAACTTAAAAGTTAAAGCCCAACAAAGATATTGTAGAATTCTTTTTTAAAAAAGTTTTTGGTTTTCAGCATTTCCATATTCAAAATTATTTATGGAAAGTTAATGTTCAGCAAAAATAAAAAAGTATTTTACTATTCCAGAATTCCAGATCTGTGTGAATCATTAAAATAGAGGTGTCTATTATAAATATTCAAAACCATGCTACTATATATCATGTATTGAGGTTATGGAATCCCCCACCCTTTTTTTCAAGGAATAGTTTATTGAAATTATGTTACATGAAACTAAAGTATACTACTTATTTTAAGTGTAGGGTTGAATTTTAAAATATTTCTATCCTCAGTTCTTCTTTGTGTTTTAGGTTGAATCATGTAGCTGCTGGTCTGGTTTCACCAAATCTGAAATCAGATACCTCTAGTAAAGAAATAGAGGAAGCTATGAAAAGAGTACGTGAAGCACAGTCCTTGATTTCTGCTGCTATTGAACCAGGTAAAATATTTTTATGCAATTTTTTTGGAAATTAAACTAATATTCTTGACAAATGATGTTGGCCTGCATGTAAAAATGTGTTGAATAATACTCTAGTTTTTTTTGTTTTTGTTTTTGTTTTTTTGATGTTTGCAAATTCTGATAAATAAAAGATCATGTAATGGAGTGCCACCCAGGCATATTTGGAAATATCTGGAGAAATTTCTGGTTGTCACACTGGTACCAACTGCATTTAGTAAGTAGAGATTGAAATGTCGCTAGACCTATTACAGTGAACAGGAGTCCCACATACAATACTGAACCATTCCAAAATGTCAGCAGTGCCTAGGATTAAGTAATACCTGGTATGATATTTTGGTTGTTATTGATCATTTTTATTTGTCTAGGTTGGTATAGCCTAATCAGAAGAGCCTATGAAATGCTCCTCTTTTGTTTGAAAAAAAATCATTTGTCTTATTCTTTATATATATATATATATATTTTTTTTTAGTTGTAAATGGACCTCTATTTTATTTATTTATATGTAGTACTGAGAATCGAACACAGTGCCTCACACATGCTAGGCAAATGCTCTGCCATTGAGCCACAGCCCAAGCGCCTAGATTATCTTTTAATCAATTAAATTTTCAGTAAGTAGCCAAGGCCACAAGGAAAGCAGTAGAAGCTTTGGATACACAGATGGTTCTTTGTAACTCAGAACTCTTGGGCACTTGTCCTCTAAACTGCTTTTAGTTGAAAACTCATGAGTTAAATGGTTTATAAATTATTTTTTTCTGAGATTTTTGGGAATTTATTGATTGGATCCTGTTAATTGAGGGTCCTAAATGTGAAAGATAGAGGAACTTATTGTCACTTTAATGATAATCCACATATGAAAACTGCAATGCTTTTATTTTGCTCTTTAAAGTAAGCTAGGCACAATGGCACACACCTTTAATCTGGTGACTCAGAAGGATCACAATTTCAAGGCCAGCTTAGCAAGACCCTGTTTCAGAGTTTAAAGAATAAAAGGACTGGGGATGTGGCTCACTGGTAGAGTGTTCCTGGGTTCCATACTCAGTTTTGCCCCCCAAAAAAGAAAAACACATGAAAATCAAAGCAAACATTAATCTGACTGATTATAGCTGTATTTATGAAGAAATCCCAAAAAAGGAAAAAAGGACTCAAACCTTCTAAAGAACAAATCAGAAATCACCTATGTGAAAGATAACCCTTTTTATTGATTTGTAGAAAATACCTTCACAGTCTTCTAATTGTGGCAAGTAAGATAGTAAAGGGAACTGTTAGCTGAGAATCAGAAATCTAATAATAAAGATCCATCAAAAGCCTAAATTATTTGTGTCATTTCCACAAGCTTCAGCAGTGGATTATGAAATGATCACTTGTGACATAAGTATATACGTAAAAGCTGAAAATTAAAGTAATAAGTAAATAAAATAAAATTAAAGTAATAAGAAATTCTTTGAATAACTCTTGAATGGGAGTAATTTTTCTGTTAGATGATTTCTAAATATTGGTTCCTTTTTTTTTTTTTTTTTAATTTAAAAAAAAATCCAGATAAGAAAGAAGAAAAAAGAAGGCATTCAAGATCAAGATCACGTTCTAGGAGGAGGCGGACTCCCTCATCTTCTAGACACAGGTTAGATTGCTTTTTGAAGTCAGTTATATCTTTTACAGAGGTAGTTTCTGTATTTCTGAATTTGATGTTTGCAGACTAGTTCCTGGTTAAAGTATATTTTGGTAACCATTGCTATTAACAGTATATGAATGAGTTCTCACACACATATAAAGTGAGGAAAGATATGAATTAAATCTATGATACTGTTAAACTCAAAAATCTGTGGGTGGTCAGAAGGCCTTGGGACTTGAATATCGAAATGACTTAGTACTGTTTAAAGATCACTGGACTTGAAACTTTGGAATTGAACTCTAGTTATAACTTTTTTCTGAAACTTAAATTGGAAGGTGACTTGAGGAACCTGCGTACATCTAATGTATGAATATTTGCAAGTGATAACTTGCTATTTTTTATACTTTATGAATTACTGGATAAACCAGTTGATAGTATCAATTCTCTCACTTATCTAGAGTAATACTAAATTTGTTCTTTTTTCCATATAACTTCCCTCTATAAATATATTAGGTCTCTACAGTCCAGTTTTCAAAATCCTTTACACTTATAAACATCTGGAGACAGTGGTTTTGTTTTTACTGCTTTGCAAATCTGTAATGTTTAGCTTAAAAGAAGACAATTTATTAATAAGTGCCAAAATTTGACAGGTGATAGTTAGGTAATTGCCATATGGAAATGAAACCATAATAATGAACTTTTTATAAAATTCTTTTAACTTAATAAAGTCAGTTATCTCTCAGACTTTGAATAGAACTTTTCCCCAAGCTTAATCTTTACAAGAAGGCAAAGGCAGCTAATTCAACTCAGTCATACAAGTCCTTCTTGATACACCATTGTACTTTAATCAGCATCAGTAGTGATTATGCATACTTTAAATATTACTCAAGAATTAATACTACTTATTCAAAGAACTAGATGTAATAAAATTAATAATTTTCACTGTTTCATCAAATCATCCTTATTAGAAGCAGCATTATCTTTCTTTTACAAGTTTATACAGAAGTGCCAATGATTGGTACAGTACATTTGCCATTACCTTGATTTGTGACAAGAAAATGCCAGTACCTTTCCTTATGCTGTTGCGTCATTAGTGCAAATATCAAGACAATGAAAAAGGCATATAATCACTACTATTTTGAAAATAATTTTGACCATGTGGACCCCAAAAAACGGTTTCATAAGTTATACTTTCTGAAACATTGCATTTGATAACTTACCACCAACCATTTCAGCCATTCTTTATTTTACCTAAACTCTCTGTTCAAATTACCTTAATTATATTCTAGTCTAAGCCCTGGCAGGGTAGTACTTAAAATTGTGATATTCCAAAAATTAAATAAATAAATAATAAGATTGTGATATCCCAGTTGTCAATTATTTCAGCTAATTTTCAGATTTAGTACCACTTGGTTCTTATATCCTTGTGTTTTTTTCTTCTGAAACCTAGTTCATACCATGTCTATATTTAGTATCTTCATGGATTATTTTAGAAGTGTTCTGTGTGATGTCTTCTATTCCCTGTCACCCAACTTCTCCCTGACCATCTCATTCTTAGAGATGGTAATGAGAAACATCCACTGCATTAATGATAAAGAAGACCACAGAATAGCTTTCAGTTTATTTGCTAGTCAGTGTGACATATCTTTCCACACATTGTCATTTTCCACTTCAGAACAGTTATGAAACTTCTTGCCTTACCAATGTTTTCTTTATGCCTTCATGTGTTGGCTCATCATGTTCCTTCTTCTCTAATAATACTGTTTCTTATATCTTCACTTCCCCTTGAGGAACTTCTTCTTTCTGAAAGATATGGCTTAAATTCTACTGTTTATGTGAAGTGTTGGTACTACTCAACTATCTTAATCTTCCAAGACAGTGCTCTCTCATAGTCTGATCTCTAATACAATATATCTTTTACTGGGATTACCATAATTTGTTTTCTAAATCATATTCTTAAAATTGAGAGTCTATATCTTTTCCTTTTCCTTTCTCATTCTTTTTCAGTTAAGAACTCTAGCAGCTTTATTCCTATTACTAAATTCTGTGACTCTCAAATTTTAATAATGATGTACTTTTGCTACTGAAAAACAGTATTCAAACATTTCTCTGAATTCAGCTGCTTATAATATAACATAATTATTGTGAGTAGAGTATCTTAGGCTTTTTTGTTTTTGTTTTGTTTCATTTTGTTTCTTGAGAACAGAGTATTACTTGTGCCCAAGCTGGCTTCAGACTCCGGGGATCAAGTGATCCTCCTGATGCCAGGACTCTAGGTGTGTGCCACCATGCCTAATTTATCTTAAGCATTTTAATTATCGTGACTTTCAGCAAGCCTCTTTATTTGTTTACACATTTGATATACTTATCTCTGAATTTCCTGATACTTAAATAAGTACAGTAAAAGTGTCTCTTGCAATATGTTGGCCTTGAAAAGTAATTGTTTTAGGCTCTAGTGATTTGATAGATTGTTGCAGTACCTCCGTTTCTTAGATTTTTCAAAATTTATTAAATCTGTGTGTTTAGAAAGTTGTAAAAATGCTCTTGGTGTAGTATTCAGTATTGCTCTCTGTGTATATTATAGGTAGGAAAAAAGGCTTAACTTGGTTATTGAAAATGTTTTACACATTTTCTTAAAGCTAGCATGTTGAGATGTACTTAATTCTAACAACATTAATTTTTTGTTTTCCAGAATTTTTAAATCTTTTTAGAATAAAATGGTAATTCTGATGTTTCATAGGCTAATTATTTCCCTTACAATTGTTCTTAGTACCTTAAGTCAGTTACTGTAGTAATTGACTAGGGCTACGCTAGTGAATAAATGTAACATATTTCCCCTGTCCTTCTGGAGGTTACAGAAAAGTAGATAAACATTTAAAAATTTCTTGGGATATGGAGGTATTATTATAAGAGATTCAAGGATGGCTGCAAATAAGTGTTACAAATAGAACTTAATTGTGAGTTTAATAAGGTGGTACTAATGTTTTTTCCTTAATATTTTGTTTTAGTTGTAGTTAGACAAAATACCTTTATTTTACTTTTATGTGGTGCTGAAGATCGAACCCAGTTCCCTGCATGTGCTAGGCAAGCGCTCTACCACTAAATCACAACCCCAGTTCCTCCTAATGGGTTTTAAGGCAGTTTGTTCAAGGAATTAATTAAAATCAAAGCTATATTAATACATCAGTAAGGGAAAATCAACTATTCTCTGAAATAGCTGCTATTTTATTTCTTTGACTCCTGAAGAACCAGTTATCGAGGAGGATAATACTCTTGAGCTGTGGCAAAGATTTGAATATGACCTTTTGTATTTCTAAAATATGTTTCACAGAAAGTTTGATGGCTAAATGTTAAATGATCAAGACTAAACAAAGGACTATAACTTCTTTTTAATTATTCTTAAAATAGAGGTATTAAGATAGTAGTAAAGAATTGGTGACAACATCTGAAGATTAAATAAGCTTAAAGAGAATGTGCTGGAAGAAAAGCCAAGGGGCATACAGAAACATTGGTTAAATGATAGCAAAGAGAGGATCATGTGGAGACCATGATATTTTGAGGGGGAAAAAAAGAGCAAAAGAGATAGTTTATACTGAGTTGAATATGTAAGGCCTAGATTGCTTAGAGTTTCTTAAATTGTGAATTAAAGAATTGAAATATATTTCAGAAATGACTGCAACCCACTAAGCAGTCTTCATTTATAAAAAGGGATTATAATGGTACATACTTTATACAGTTACTATGAAGCCTATTTCTAAATCATATAGAAAGCCTAATATAAATATTTGATAATTGATAAATATTGTTTAATCTGGAATGTTGGGGGGAAATTACAATGCCATGTACTTGTTTAAAGTAATGTCAGAGAATTTATTTTTCCTTCATTCTCTAGTAGTGCTTTTAACCTTCGAGTTTTGTAGGTTCAGTGGGAATAGGAAGACTGGTCTGAAATGTTGAGCAGAACATTGAAAGATGGGGAATTCAAGTGTTAAAAGGTATCCAAGATGTTTATAGGTTGAATAATGACAGCAACTGATAAGGGAAGATTATCCCCACTTAATTCACAGTCCATATGTTTGAGGCTGATTGAAGTATTCACAATTAAGTATTCAGTAGTCTTTTTACAATATACATGTATTGCTTCTGTTACATTATTAGGCGATCAAGAAGCAGGTCAAGGAGACGATCACATTCTAAGTCAAGGAGTAGACGACGATCCAAAAGTCCACGACGGAGAAGATCTCATTCCAGAGAAAGAGGTAGAAGGTCAAGAAGCACATCAAAAACCAGGTATTACTGATTATTAACATTGGGTAAAAATGCATGTTTTTGCGTTCCTAGGACTCCAAATACTGTGCTACTTGGAACAAAAAGAGGCAAGGGTACAGGCAGATAGAGCTACATAGGGGAAGAATATACTGGAGACTTGAGGAGGCTAACATTTATTTTCTTGTCTCCCATAAACTAAAACTTCAGCCCATAGGTGTGAATGCCTCAGTAAAATTTCTTTTTTCTCTCTTTTTTTTTCCTAAGTAAAATTTCTTAGTAGTAAAAATTCTTAGCTGTCCCTTTTACTTCATTTTTTTCTTTCCACTACTGCAAAAGATTTAGTGTTGCCTGCCATTCCTTGTGGTATGCCAAAGATTAAGATAGACAGTTATGTTTCATTTCTCTTTATATGTCTCATTATTCAGTGACTTAGAAACATGCATTATGGATCAATATGTGCCAGACATTGAACTGTACTACAAAAAGTCTCTTATCCCATGATTTGAGACCAGTACAGAGTTAAACTAAAGATTCATAAGGAAAAGAAACACCATCTTAATGTTCATTTCCATTTACTATACTTTCAAGAACTAAGCTTTCATAAAGATCTGAACCTTTTTAAAAAATTAGCGTGTCTAGTTTTGAGTTACACATAACCATATCATTGATTTTCATTCTATAGTGGCATGAGAGCTTTATCATTTGAAAAGTATATTGTTTTTCCCTTGGTTATTTATCTTTGGTAAGCATATAACTTGACAGTGGGAATAGAGGAGATAGGAATACTGGGTATTCAACTCATAATGGGATTGTGTCGCTAAATGGATTATATGTTAATCTAGTCAAACAAGACTGCATATTGGAACAATCATCTTACACAGAATTGGGCATTCTTTTCTCAAGAATTTTCTGTGTATTAGGAGAGTAATAATTGGAGAAAGACTGTGATGGTTGCCATGTACATTGGAAGAAGATTGAGAAGTGACTAGAATATTACATTCTGAAACATTGAACTTGACTTTGTTAGGACACGTGGTATCAGATTGAAAATGACATTTACAAAGTTAGCAATGAGCCAGGCATGGTGGCTCACACCTATAATCCTAACAACTCAGGAGTCTGAGACAGAAGAAACTCAAGTTTGAAGCCAGCTTTAGCAATTTATTGAACAACTTAATGAGACCCTGTCTTAAGAAGGGATAGGGCTGGGGTTATAGCTCCATGGTAAAGCCCCCCTTGGGTTCAATACCTAGTTGACCACCTCACCCATACACAAAAGGTACTAACCATGCAACACATGACTGTAATTTGAAATATCTCCAATAGAGGTACATGATCAATTTGTGGAAAGCATACCTGAAACATTTTAGGAAATTGATAATTGTCACTTAAGAATTAGGTGATAGCCAGTTGGATGAAAAGAAGATCAATGCTAGAGCAAGATAACCAGAGAAGGAATGGGATGAAATAGAGAATATATAGTGAAAAGATTATCATACAACAGCAAAGGGGGGATACTTTGATCCCTAATAGTTGAGGATAGGATGTTTTTAAGAATGTGGTTAGATTTGATTGTACTTTTGTTTTCATTTGTAATACTCTATATATTGGAGTCTTAATTATACATTCTTACATTATGTTTATTTATTAGAGATAAAAAGAAGGAAGACAAAGAAAAGAAACGTTCCAAAACACCACCAAAAAGTTACAGCACAGCCAGACGTTCGAGAAGTGCAAGCAGGTAAGGTGGCATCCTGAATTCTTTGCATATTTTTACTTTAAGGTTATCAGAAGGCTGTGAATGTAAAATATGCTTCAGAACATTAATACTCCAGTATTACAAAAGGAAGACTTTACCAAAATTCAATGTTTTTAAAGGCAATTTGTGAAGAACAATCTGGAGTTTATCTTTGTATCATCTTGTAGCATAGAGTGTATATAAAAATAATGTGGAATTTAGCCATGTCAGTGCCTCTCTTTTTTTTTTTTTTTTTTTTAAAGTTCTAGATGAACACAATACTTTTGTTTAATTCATTTTTATACAGTACTGAGGATCGAACCCAGTGCCTCACACATACCAGGCAAGCGCTTCACCACTGAGCTACAACCCCAGCCCCAGTGTTTCTATTTTAATGAGAAATTTTAATCCCTAAAGCATATCAAATTGTTATATTAAATTAGTTTTATTAAGAGTTACATTTGCTGTATCCACATATTAGTACTCAAGAATATTTCATTTTTATATTGTGGCATTGATAAATTAAGGGAAGACAGTGGAAGTTCTGATTTGTATCATTTTTAGATTTTAAAAGTCTATTTTTTAAATTGTCATAATGAAAATTAAAAGTGTCACAAACTTTTCCCCACATAAAATGTATTTCATGCTTAACTTGGATTTTTGTGATTTTAATAAGGACTGGCCATCCTTAATATTGTTTCTTTCAGATATTATTTATGCTTTACTTCAGTGTTTGATACCTTATGTCATATTTTTAAAAACTCAAAAGTGGATGAAAGACTTAAAGAGCCAGAGCCAAAACTGTAAAACTTAAAACAGAAGTAAATTTCAGTGACCTTGATTGGCAGTGGTTTTCTACATAAAGACACCAAGGGAACAAGCACAACAGAAGAAAAACTACAAAGGAAAAGCACCAGAATCGCAAATTTTTAACTCTCAAGGAAGTTAAAGTCTGCTCATGGAGTGCAAGAAAATATTTTTAATACATAGACCTGATAAGGAATTTATATCTAGAACATATAAAAAATTCTTAGAGCTTAGCAATAGAAAGGCAGATAATCCAAGTAAAAACTAGTCAAAGGATCTATGTAGGCGCTTCTCCAAAGAAGTATGCAAATATAGTTCATAAGTACATCAATAATCTTCAATATTTTAGCCACCAAGGAAAGGAAGTCAGTCACAATGAAATACCACTTCACACCCACAAGGATTGTTGTGATCAAAAAGATAAGTCAATGTTAGTGAGGAATTAGAAGAAATTGGCAATAGCTCTGGGGAAAACAGGCTGGCACTTACTTTCTTAAAAAGTTAGAACAGAGGTTTTTAACCCTGCAGTTTTACTACTACAGATTTTTAAAAAAATGCACTCATGTAAATGCTTGTAAAAAAAAAATTATAGCATTATTCATGATAGCCAAAAAGTTAGTGCAGGTGTCCACTAACAAACAAGTGGATAAACAGATGTTCTAATACAGTAGATTATTTGGCATTAAATAAAGTGATATGGATGAACATTGAAAACAGGCCAGAAGCCAGTCATGGAAGTCATGTGAATGGTTCTATTTATATGAAAAGTCTAAACTAGGCAGATATTAGAGATCAAAACTTGGTAAAGGGAATGGGATTTCTGTGGATCTGAATGAGAATGTTCTTGCAAAGTACGCTTACAGAAGAAAGAAAAGGAAACCAGGTTTAAGTACCAAAAGGAATGCAATATCAAGTCTGGGGGACAGGTGGCAAAAAGCTATAGGAGATGGGAAGTATAGCATGTTTTCTTGCCTTAAAAACCAAAGAGGGACTGGAGCTGTAGCTCAGAGGCAGAACTTGTACTTAGCATACACAAGGCCCTGGGTTCAGTCCTCAGCACCAAAAACAATAGAAAATTAATTAAAAAAAAAAAAAAAAACGACTTTTACCTATTGGTTATATACCTTACCTCTTGAGTAGACCATTCTAAGTTAAAATATTTTTTGTTTTTATTAAATACTTTCTTTGCAGCGATACCTCAATATATTGAGGGGCACAGAAATACAAAACATTTCTTCCACGTAAAGAATTTGTAGTATCAGTTACACAGAACAGTAGCAAGAAGTGTAACATTCATATTCTTGACAAACTTAGTAAATATTCGATGAATAAATGTTGATTGCTTTGCACATGGTCATCTTTCATGTCCAATAACTTAAGAATTCAGGAGCTTTTTTTTAAAGCCACAATAAAAAGTAGGTGAAAACCGTCCTAAAAATAATTGTTTAAAGTAGAGTTGGTGGGGCGGATTTTGCTGGGGTGTAGGGAGTCTATATAACTAGACTTGGCAACTCTACTTTTCTGGATTTCATCTAATGATTTAGAAGCTTAATTTTTGTATATTAATGACTGCCTTCCCAAAACATTATTGAATTATCCTAAATCTGTTCTAGCCACCAAAGATTTGAATCTAAAACTGAATTTCCTCCATAATAGGTTGAATTTTTCTTGCTTGCATTAGAACTTTTGTTAATCAGTTCTTTCTCAAACCTAAGAGTGTTTCTGCTCAAAACAGTTTTGTGAAACAGGTCTTACATTATTAGAATCATGTTATAGAAGTTCCCAGTGGAGCTAATTAGATCGCACTGTATTTTAAAGTCTAGTTTGCACGTTTGTGTTTCTAGAGAGAGACGACGAAGAAGAAGCAGGAGTGGAACAAGATCTCCTAAAAAGCCTAGGTCTCCTAAAAGAAAATTATCTCGCTCACCATCCCCTAGGAGGTAAAAATGTTAATTGTTTTGATCTGGCCTTTATGATTTTCAGAAGTTCTAAAGATTTTTAAATTGTCTTTTGTTTTTTATAACATATACTTTTTTCCTTTTGGAGTATTGAAAGTGCTTGAGAAGGTATCTTATATTCTCTTTATATTCTTGAGACTTAAACACTTCTTAGAATTGATCATTTTAGACCTCTAAATCAGATCTCCCAGTCTTCTTGCCTGTGGTACCTGTGCACAAATTGATGCCTTTATTGTCCAGTTTTGAAATTGGATCTTCGCTGTCCTCTTTTTACCTTGTGGAATTAAAACTTATTGCTCATATTCAAGGGTGAAACTTCTTGTGAGGTTCCTTTAAAGGATCTTTTTTGAGCACATTTTAACTGTCATTCTAGACATAAAAAGGAGAAGAAGAAAGATAAAGACAAAGAAAGAAGCAGAGATGAACGGGAACGATCAACAAGCAAAAAGAAAAAGAGTAAAGATAAGGAGAAGGACCGGGAAAGAAAATCAGAGAGTGATAAAGATGTAAAAGTATGTATACAAACTGATTTAGTTTGGAATTTGGGGTGGTGTTTGTGCTTTGAAGAAATTCTTTTTCTTTGAAGAAACTTACTTTTATTATTATCCTTGGCAAAGCAGGTTACACGGGATTACGATGAAGAGGAACAGGGGTATGACAGCGAGAAAGAGAAAAAAGAGGAGAAGAAACCAACAGAAACAGGTTCCCCTAAAACAAAGGAATGTTCTGTAGAAAAGGGAACCGGTGATTCACTAAGAGAATCCAAAGTGAATGGGGACGATCATCATGAAGAAGACATGGATATGAGTGACTGAGTACTGCCTCTGTGGGAGTCCAACTGTATACATGCATCAGTGTCATTCCTTTGTGTGATTTATTATTGCTGTATTTGTTCATCTCAATCCTAGATGTATACAGCTGAGTTATAAATGGTTATAAAGCTCCTGATATTGATATTAGTTATTTACATCAAAAAGCTTTTAGAAAATGGTACATGGGTAACCAGCTCTTGTCGTGGTGAAATCTGATTGAGTAACCAAGCAGTTTTACTATTCTGGTGCTGCTTCATAACAAAAGTGAAAAGCTGCATGCATCTACAGCAGGCATGGATTGTTTATGTTGTATGATCTCCTTTATTACGTAAGTTCACTTATAGTATTTCTAGAATTTGATTCATTGCCATAATAGAGCCATGTAGGGAATGCACTGATTGCATGTTATTGTGGCAAGAATATCCTAAATGTCATTAAAATCCTCCAACATGATGGATCTACTTATGGTCTTGTTTGTTGACATGACAAATTAACATTCTTAGAGTTACATCTGGAAATGAGCATTTGAAATAGATAATCCTGTAAGCCTTGTGGCTCAATTTTTGTGGCTTTTGTTTAACTTTTGAAAGGTTATATATGCACTAACCTTTTTTGATGGCTAATTAGGCTTTAATTACAGAAACAACATTTCAAATAAAACTGTCTTTGGCGGTGAGTAAATAGCAACATTTTGAAGTAGAGTTGTGTACTTTTTCATGGGTGTTTGGGAATTTTTTTCCTAACGTAATTTATTCCATATCTACATCAGTGAAAGTTATCCGCCTATCCTGAGTCCATCTGTAAAAGAAAGTTGTATCTTGTCCTGATTTTCAATTTTTCTTTTTGTTTTAAGCTCACTTATGGAAAAAAGGGGTAGTGCATTTTAAATTGACCTTCGATGCTTTTAAAATAAGATAGGTCTACTTGATAATGTACTTTTATTTGATCTCAAGTTGTACAAAACCAAGAAATTTTGTGTTACTATTACTATAGTAGTAATCTTAATGCACACAGTGATTCCATGTTATATGCAAAGTAGTTAGGCAACTGTTTTCTTAGTTACAGGAGTTTCGGGCTTCACTTTTGTGCAGTAAAAACAAAAGTAGGCTACAGTCTGTGCCATGTTGATGTACAGTTTCTGAAATTGTTTTACAAGACTTTGATAATAAAACCCTTAAACTTATGTTCATGTTCCTGTAAAACTGTATTTGTATTTATTTACATTATTGAATGTAAGACATTTACCTCATTCATTTTACCAATTCTTTCTCTTTCTATCCACATTTAAATACAGTAACAAGATGAAATCCATCACCTTATGCTGGTATTTGCCATCAGAATTGTCAAATAATTGAATTTCTATCTAAAACAGTCTTGATATAACTTTCTCATATTTTGGATATGGGAATGGGGTTGGATTACACCATGAACTTTAGGATAAACAAATGATCCACTTATAATCTAGTAAATTTATATTTTCAGTGAAATAATGTTTGCCTTTTCTGAAATAATATAGAAACTGTCAATGATATGTATGCTGTACAGTACTAAATAGTATATTTATTCGTTTATGAAATTAGGAGTGTTTGGCTAGGATTAAAGAAAGTTGAGACTTGGAGTTGTAGTTTTATCCAAGTTTTTCAGTAAAATTTGATTTTTTTAAAAAAACTGTTCTAAAAGTTGAAATGCCATATAGAAAAGCAGCATTTTTATAGTTTGTAGTAACTTTTTAAGACTATCAGAAATTTGTTTATGGCAAGTATAAGAAATTCTAGAAATGGTCCAAATAATCACTGATTTTTTTTTTCTGAGTGCAAATGACATTTTAAATTTAGAAAAAAATGTTTAGTAAAGATTGACCCATGTGATGTGGCCATTTTTTATAAGTCAAAAAACAATACTGGCAGTTTTATGGGGTAAAAAATAAAAATCTGTCTCCCCCAATTGTACCCTCTGGATGCAAATATATTATTTTCTAAAGGGATTTAAAAATGGGGATTTTAAAATAGTGCCACTTACATAAGATGCTGCAGTGAAGGAAGTTATATTTAGGATATTTTTCAGTAAACATATTCTGCACAAAGGTAGTGTTATACTGGGACACAATCCTTTTAACAGATGAGGTAACCAGTTGAAATCAAGTGAACACTGCCTCCACACCAAGTTTTGTTCTGTATTTGGTAGTAAAATGATCTAAAAATAAAAGTGGTTTTGTTAGAAAAAAAATGTTTGTTCTTATTTATTTGCTTAAATTCTGTAGGTAATTAGATTAGTGTCTGTAGGAGGAGACTTGAATTAACAGTCTAGTCAAGGGTTTGCTTTATGTGGCCAGCCTGGAGAGAACTGTTGACCTGTGCACATTAGTTGGTTGGGGGGAATTGTATCTATATATCAATTAACAGTAGATGCTGTTTATGGTTTTTGAAAAACTCTGTAGTAATTTAGGCCAGGCACAGTGTAATCTCAGCTACTCAGGAGGACCACAGATTCAAGGCAAATTAGACCCTATCTTAAGTCTATTAAAAATAAAGGGTAGTTCATTCCCCAGTACTAAAAATGTTATTTAGGTGGTAATGTTAAAGCAAAAACACTAACATAGGGCACATATATTTCCATTATGATGTTAACCATTAAAGATAGAAATGTAAACAGTAAAGGAAAAAGCCAGTACTGTAACAGTAAAAGCTAATTTTTAACCTTGGAGCTGCGTCTTACAACTCAGGTTCACACAGTATTATCAGTAAATCTAGTACTGAATTGGGTAACAGATAAAGATCCATACTGTTTGAAGATTAATGCTCTGGGTGTTTAAACTGGAATTGAGGTTTCTGTCTTTGGTCTCAAAAACTTAAGCGTCTCATCCTTGGTTCTAAATCAAGTCCATATTTTGTGTTATAGTTGAATGTGGGTGTAATGGAATTGCTATTGCTACTGGAACCTTGTTTTATAAACATCCAGAATTCATTCATTCATTACTAAGAAGAGTGTTAGCATAGCAGAAGTAATATTTCCCTAAATGTTTTCTACATACTGATTAATTTTGTATCTGATAAGTGGATTTAGACATTATTAGCAAAGTAATTTAGGCCCTGTGGGAATATTATTAATATTCTCATATTGTATAGTATTAGATATTTAGCATTTACAGATAAAGGGTTTGATATGACATTTTTTTTTAAGAACTGATAATTTGTAAAGGACTTCTTTTGGTTTGTGTTTTGCAGTACTGAGGATCAAACCCAACCCAAGACCTCCGGCATGTTAGGCAAGTACTATATCACTAACTACATCCCCTGCAACTGACAGAACATTTTTCAATGACTATTTAATAAAGTCCTTATTAAAAAAAATACTGACATATCATTTTCAAAATTTGAAGCTCATTTTTGTAGTGCACTATCACTAAAATTGGTATGATGCTTCTTATAAAAGCTAGCTAGAAGCTGGAGCATATACCTGTAATCCCAGCAACTAAGGAGGCTGAGGCAAGAGAATGCAGTTTGAGGCCAGTCTCAGCAACAGCAAGATACTGTCTCAGAGGACACAGGATGTACATCAATGGTAACGTGCCCCTGGGTTCAGTCCCCAGTACCTAATCCTTCCTACTCTGCAAAAAAAAACAAAAAACAAAAACTAAAGTGATTGGTACATAAGAAATTGAAGGTCTAGGATGACGGAATGTTTCAAATGTTTACTTTTAAGTTATTCTAAACTATACTCGATTAGAATTTAATGTTCAGTTATTTAAAACTGTACTCAAAGAAGCAAAACTCCTAGTTTTTTGTTATTTTGTGTTTTAACAGGGATGGACCTTGATTGTCTGAGACGGTTAAGCAGTCTCAGTAAGGCTTTTGTCTTTGCACCTGATGCTGCAGTTTAAAGTCCACAAGCAGCTGGAAAGTGAAGATTTGTGACTGTAAGAATAAGCTGGAGCTAACCACAAGCACAAACTAAAACCTACAAGGATGGACTGAAACTGGTTAAGTCTTGTTACTTTTGTTCTTGGTGGCAAGGTTGTCCTGCAGAAGGCTAGAACTCTTCACCTCTTGAAGAGCTGAAGTAGAATCCAGGGGAAGGTAGCCATCTTGCCTCATCCCAAGAAGGAGCAGATCAACCACAATATGTATGAAAGTATAGCAACTTTGGTAAGGATGTATTTTGTTAATTTTAGAAAACAGCAAAGGCATACTGTATCCACTATTAATCTTGAGATATTTCACCCTAAGCATAGGCTATTTTAAAGGCTAGCATACAAGCAAGCCTTTGAATTTACCTGAAAATTCTTACTCCCAAGTTTTTACAAGCACATTGCTTGCCCAAAAAAAACATAAATGAGGAAAAGGAAGCATCCCTTAATTGTTTACAGACAATATTTATTCCAGCCCTTTCATAGCCTCAAAAATGAAACAGTATAATCAGGATATTCATCTGATCTGTATACTTAATGAAAACTGGAGAGAAGCTTGCTAAACGTCATTATTCACCTTCCGCCAAGATGTGAATAATGAGCTGTATGTGCATAACAGTGTGAAAACCCACTAATAAGTATAAATGAAGCTTAATACCAATCTGAGCAGAAGGAAACTAGTTTTTCAGCTTCTATCAGCTGAGAGACGTGTCAATTTCCAAAACATCATTATGTACTTAAAACCCACAACAATCAGGGAAATCAGCTTTATGTTTCCCTTTTATGAATTTTGAGAATTCTACAAAGGGCAAATTGTCTCATTAGAATAATTTCTTGAGGACAGAAATTCTAAATACCACTTAGTGGCAGCAGTATCAGCCATGTCTAAATGTTTATTTGACTGTTTTATGCCCCCAACTCAGTTTATAAGTTTCTAAAATCACAAGCAGAAGACAATTTTATAAACCCACATTACAAAATCTTGATTTTTGTGTGAAATTATCAAAATATATGGGTGCTGTGATCTATTCATTTTAAACTTAACTGCATTAAGGAGCACATTTTGAAAATCTAATATTGTGAAAAGTTTATTTGCATTATTTTTTCCACCATCATAATAGATATTGACATTTGTTTGTTCTTCACGATCAGAAGACATTTTGGAATGGACAATTTGTTTCTACTATTTCTTAAAGAAAAAGTATTAAATACAAAATCCAAGTGCAAAAGTTTTCAGTAGTCTTCCCACCTCCAGTGTACCCAGCATAACTGTCACAGCTGTTAGGAAATTGATAAATCCCAAGCTGCAATTCACCATGTCTTTTTTCCTCTCCAATTAGTCTGCACTTATGCAAAAAATCTGCAGTATATTCCTGAAAGTATACCAGATTCCTACAAAGTGAGGGAGCCTAAGAGCAACAGTAGTCACTGCCATTTAGAGTCTTAAACCCCATAATAACCAAAGACGGGATATTTCAATCACTTGATGTACAGCCATTCCCTAAATATGAGTGATCAACTTCTTTTCAGCAAAGCTAGCTCTCCGTTTACCAATTCTTTCCTCAAAATTCAAGAGACCCACATACGATAGTGATTAGGTCTTTGAATTTTTAACTATGAATATTTTTCTGCATTATAAATGTATTTATTAAAAGGTCAATTGGTATGTATGGAAGATGCAGTTTTAAAGATATTTATCATAAAAAATTTTCTTATGGTTGATAACTTTGGATTGTTAAATAAATCATCTCTTCAATAAAGGTCTCTAAACTCATTTCAAATTACCTAAAATTCTGGTACAAGTTTAAACTACTGGACACTAAAAAACTTGACAGATCCATTCTTGACAAATTCATCAGGACAAACTTTTTTTTAAAAATTAGCTAAGCTCTTTAATACAACATGATACTTTATCACTGTTATACATTAGTCTCCCTAATTTATTTTCGTTTTTGGACCTTCAAACCGTCTTGGAATAAATACAAGAAATTTTAAGTCAAAAAATGAGTAATGCATGATTTTAACATTTTGGAGACAATTAAAATCAAATATTTTCCTGTGACCAAAAAAAATTAACAATAGGTATTGTCAATCTTCCATATGCTTCTGGACTTTAGCTTGTAACAAATATATTCTGTTAGCATATAAAATGTTTTTACCTTACTTTGAAAGCATTATATATGTAGGGCTGTCCAAAATATGTGGGTCGTCTTTTAAAATTGACACCAATGATCCATATTCCACTAAAAACAAACAAAATCATCAGACTTATATGT